ATCAAAAGTATAAGGAACTTCTTAGCTTCTTAGCCTGTGAAAAAAAGTTTTGGATATGAAACACAAACTTACTGCCTTATATCATTGAATGCTTTCTTGCATATATTCTAATTATGATAATTTCAAAACAGTGAAGCAATTCTCTGAGTCTGACTGCAATTTCACAAATGAACTTCAGAAAAAATGCTGTATATTGCTATTAGAAGCAGTATCACTTGCATATAAGTAATATCTATACACAGTCACCCCATACAACTCCTTGTTGCTGTTTCCATATTGTACAATTTTGTTGCCCCTTTTTTATTTTGTGAAAAACTGTGTTTCATAACATGTTTTGTATATTCTCTTCTTAAAAGTTAAGGACTAAATTTCAAACATTTGCACTTAAATTTGATAATAACAACAAGAGCACCTTGATCAAAGTTCAAAGTTAAAAAGGGGAATGCCTCCAAAAATATTGCTTTCAGAATTATGCCCCTAGTCTTAGAACTGCTTCTTGTCATGATAAGCAGACATTCCTAGTTTCATGCTGAGAACTTCTTAAGTATATGAATAATGGGCAACATTAAAATTTAAAGCATGACTTATTCTTAAAAATAGACAAGCTAAGTAAAATATCTTTTATTATGCTTTTTGCAATACGCAAAAATTCTCCCTTTTATTTATACATTTTTTAACATTTTAAGCTTATTTCACAGAATACTACTTTTTAGAACCCACTTTTTCAGATGTTGTCCTTTTTGTTAGTAGAACCTATATCAATTTGTTCTTCTTTTTTTTTTAAATAAAAACGATTGAGTCAATCTTAAAGAAAACATGTATTGTATTGTATGTAAAACCCCAGTCTAATAATTACAACAGATGGCCATAAGTTTAATTCTCCATGTCATTTAACTTAAAACAGACTGTTTACATCCCGGTGGCTCTCTCTTTGAACAGTTTCTTCAAATAGTCACATGACACAAGCAAGATTTCTTATATTTGAACTATTACACCAGAACTACACCTTATAAACAAGTATGGAAACATTGCCATTAAAATTTTCTTATGCATATACACCTCAAAGATTTTCTTTTTGATAAATATATATCTATATATATCAATATAAACTACACCTATACTGTATTTTGATTTGCAATTTTATAAATGTATCTAAATGCAAAAGAACAAAACATGAGTGTGTGTGAAAAATGATAATAATTCAGATATCATGGTACAGGTATTTCCACAAAAAACAACATTCAACAAGGCTTATGTCCACAGGAATGATCAGTACATTACAATATACAAAATAATAATTGAAATGTCAAATAATTCACATAAAGGTACTTACAGTAAATAAAAAACACTTATTTTATTAATCATATTTTTGTTTTAATTTATACCATCCTGTTTCTTTGATACGTTTTAAACAATTACAAAATAGCTATGGATAATTTTTCAATTTTGATGGGGTTTTTTTACATATAAGCATTATTTTTTTGTTCAGTTATTATTTGTAAACAGTCAAAAGATCTCTGATTTATTATGAAAAAAAAGGATTTGTGAATATGACTTCTTTCTGAATGAAATTCTAAATCTTAAAAAGAATACATTATAGAATCATACACACCTAATACAATCAAATTTGGCATGTACATAAGTTTATTCATATATCAATATATTTGTATATGCAAACATTGTACACCATTTGACAAGAAAAACACAACAAAAATTCAGTTTCGTTGTCAAAATGGTCTCTTTTTATATAAAGAGGAACGGGAAGAAAAAAAAAAACAATGATAAAATCTCAACCTCAATTGAAGGTATCCCTGAAATAAACATTTTAATAACAAGATATTAAAATGGTAAAACTCTTTTAAACTTTAAATAAAAACTTTTCAACTTCTGAATCTTAAAAATTGAATCCACTCAAAACATCAGCATTACCTTATTGCCAATGGCCAACATTTCCCTGTATACATGATAATATTGACTTTACTTGTTGTTATTCTTTCCAACCTTATTAATATTGATCCAAATAATAAAACCCAGGAATTTAAAACCAAAAACTGGGGGCCCAAACCTTTTGTACCTTTCCCAAAAAGGCCCAAACAAGTTTACAACACTTTTAAAACTATGTGATTTTTAAAAATTTCCCTTATATTAATAATGGGAAAAAATTTCCAAAAAATTTAAGCAAAAAAAGTCTAAAAACATAAAATTAGCATGGGAAAAAATGACCAAGTTGCAGGCAAAACTGCTTCGAAATCAAGATTTATTTCATTTCAATTTAAAAGAAGTTATTATTTAAAAGTTTTCAATAAAATATACCACAAAATTCAAAATTACATAACAAACTCATCATCATATACAGGGGAATACTATGTTATAACATTCAAATATATATAGAGAGAAATTTTGACATTACAATAAAAGACTTGTCAATCAGGAATGCATTTATATCTTACATACATACAATTTCTTGGGCATCCATTTGTACATCATAATTACATACACATATACACAAACCTAGAAATCTTAAAAAATAAAGAGTTCCTAGATTATAAGATAGATTTATATATTGAAGTCACCATTTCAAATACATGCAAGATAAATCTTTGAATTAATGTGGAAGTGAATGGCACAGTGAGTAATAAAATATATGTATCATATCTTGATACAGGAAAGTTGAAGACTGGTCAGAACATTTTGGCAAATTTATAGGCCTACACTTTTAATTGTCATTGATATAAATATAGAAACATTGCTGACAAATCTAAGACACCTTACTGACATTTGATTACTAATTAACATATATATCTTATTGTGCAAAAATTCTGGAAAGATAAAATAATAATTTCATTTTTAATTCCTCAGTGGGACAGAAAAAATGGGATGATATCATGATAATAAAGATATTCCTGTAAGACATGACCTTAAACCTTTAGAAAACCTTATTACCAATAAGCCACCTCCTTGATCATGAAATTTGCTCTTAATCAACAGGAACTTATGAAATAATATTGGAAAGTAAAAATAATTTTCAATTATGTATTCATGATGGAAACTGTCCATAAACAAGAGGGCCATGATGGCCCTGAGGTCGCTCACCTGTATATAGCCCCCCCCCCCCCCCGGCGCCCAATTTTTACCCAAGGGCTTTTATTTGTTTATTTGAACAGACTTGGTAGACACCCATAAGAAGATGTTTCATGCAAAACATCTAAGTTTCTAGCTCATTGGGTTTTTTAAAAGAAGATTTTTTAAGTTTTTTACTATACAACACATATAGTTAAAAACAATGACACCCTCGGGCAGGGCCAGTTTTGACCCCTGGGGCTTTTATTTGAACAAACTTTGTAGATATTTACTTAAAGATGTTTCATGCTTAATATTAAACTCTAGTTTATTTGGGTTTTTTTCAAAGAAGATTTTTAAGTTTTTTGCTATGTATATAAGGAAAATCAATGACCCCGGGGCGGGGCCAGTTTTTGACCCCAGGGCATTTTTTATTTTTGAACATACTTGGTAGACACCCATTAGAAACATGTCTCATGCTAAATATCTTAGCTCTAGCTCTTTGGGTTCTTTAAAAGAAGATTTTATAAGTTTTTACTATATGCATATAAGGAAAATCAATGACCCCCCGGGGCGGGGCCAATTTGGACCCAGGGCTTTTATTTGAACAAAATTTGGTAGAATTTCACTAGAAGATGTTTCATGCCAAATATCTAAGCTCTAGCTCTTACAGTTCTTTAAAAAGAATTTTTTTAAGTTTTTACTATATGCATAAAGGATAAATCAATGACCCCCCCGGGGCGGGCCAATTTTGACACCTGGGCTTTTTATTTGAACAAATTTGGTAGACACTCACTAGAAGATGTTTTATGCCAAATATCTAAGCTCTAGCTCTTACGGTTTCTTTAAAAGAAGATTTTTTTAAGTTTTTACTATATGCATATAGGGAAATCAATTACCCCCCAGGGCGGGGCCAATTTTGACCCCAGGGCTTTTATTTGAACAAAACTTGGGGTAGACATTCACTAGAAGATGTTTCATGCCAAATATCTAAGCTCTAGCTCTTTGGGTTCTTTAAAAGAAGATTTTTTAAGTTTTTACTTTATGCATATAGGGAAAATCAATGACCCCCTGGGGCGGGGCCAATTTTGACCACAGGGCTTTTATTTGAACAAACTTGGTAGACATTCACTAGAAGATGTTTCATGCCAAAAATCTAAGCTCTAGCTCTTACAGTTCTTTAAAAGAAGATTTTTTAAGTGTTTACTATATGCATATAGGGAAAATCAATGACCCCCCCGGGGCGGGGCCAATTTTGACCCCAGGGCTTTTATTTGAACAAACTTGGTAGACACTCACTAGAAGATGTTCTATGCCAAATATCTTAGCTCTAGCTCTTACAGTTCTTTAAAAGAAGATTTTTTAAGTTTTTTACTATATGCATATAGGGAAAATCAAATGACCCCCGGGGCGGGGCAATTTTGACCCCCAGGGCTTTTATTTGAACAAACTTGGTAGACACTCATTAGAAGATGTTTCATGCCAAATATCTAAGCTCTAGCTCCTAGGGTTGTTTAAAAGAAGATATTTAAAGATTTTTCTTTCGGTTGCCATGGCAACCAGAGTTCTGCATGGAATTAAAATTCTTTGAACAATTTTTAAAGGTGACCACCAAAGGAACATTCCTGTGAAGTTTGGATGAAATTGGCTCAGTGGTTTATGAGGAGATGTCATTTAAAGCAAAAGTTTACGGACGGACGACGGACGGACGACGGACGGACGGACGGACGCCGGACGAAAAGCGATCACAAAAGCTCACCCTGTCACTTTGTGACAGGTGAGCTAAAAACAAAGTCAAGTTATGTATTGATAGCTAGGAAAAAATAAACATAATTATATTGTAATGAGATTTATTTTTATTTTGAGCTACACATTATCTTAGTTGATTTACATCTCTTCATTTTTTGCCATAAAAAAATCATGAAATTAGACCACTAAACAAAATATTCCTTATGGGTTTTTTTTAAAGTTTTTTTATTTTTATTTTAGAGAATTTTCTTTCCTTACATCTGAACCCTGACATAGAATTGTTTCCATTTTAGAAGCAAATTTCATATCACTTCACTACTCAACATTTGAACATTCAAAATCATATTCTTCATTTTAACTTTTATCCATCCAAAAAACACCATTTATACCTAATAACCCAGTCATAACCCACAATTTACATTTCCACAAAAGGAAAACAAGTTTATTCATTGTACTTTAAACTCTCTTTCAAATCTTTTAATTTCTTAATATGCATTAATTTCTTTATTTCTGGCCTTTTATTACCCAAATAAATACATCTAGCAGCATGTATACAAAGCAGATATATGTCCTAACAATTTTCTACTGCAGACATCCGTCATAAACTAACAGGTGTTGCTAATCCATTCATGATTCTCTGCCAGAGCTCTTTTCTACAAGATTTTGTTCGTCGTAAACTTTGTAGCAGTTCTTGAAACTGGACCATACCCCCAGGTGTAATGTAGAACACATTTCTAGCACTACAGATGATGCTAACAAAGTCATCGTATTCTGATGTATTTATATGATGAATTCTCTGATGAGCACACTGCATGAACCTGCATGAAAAAATATAAAATAGTAAACTTTAAATGTGTGAATGACTGAATGATTTGCTTTGTCAGCAACAATGTCAATAAATTTCAGTCATCTACAAAAATAACAACAAGAGCAATCAGTGATCACATGTGTCGCCTCATGATGGCCAATTTCATGTTGGGACAAGTTTTGTGACAGACAGACAGACAGACGGACAGTGCACAACAAGACTTGGTACTGATCATTCCTGTAAAGTTTGGATAAAATTGCACCAGTAGTTTATGATAAGTAGTCCGGACAAGCTTTTGTGTATCTGGCAACACGCAGAAAAAAAAACACCTTTTTATCAAAGCGCCATAACTCGGCCAAAATTATTCAACCGGAAAACCTGTGCAATATGCGCAAGGATTTGAGCTACAGATCAATCCTGTAGTTTCATTGAAATTGCATTAGTGGTATAAGAGAAGTAGTCCGGACAAACTTTAAAAATAAAAATTATTAAAGGGCCATAACTGTTACAAAAATCATTGAACCTGAAAATGCTGACAATATGCACAACTAGACTTGATACTGATCATTCCTGTAAAGTTTGGATGAAATTGCACCAGTAGTTTATGAGGTGTAATCCGGACAAGCTTTTGTGTATCTGGCAACACACAGAAAAAAACACCTTTTTATCAAAGGGCCATAACTCGTCCAAAAATCATTCAACCGGAAAACCCATGCAATATGCTCAAGGACTTTAGCTACAGATCAATCCTGTAAAGTTTCATTGAAATTGCATTAGTGGTATAAGAGAAGTAGTCCGGACAAACTTTAAAAATAAAAATTATTAAAGGGCCATAACTCTTACAAAAATCATTGAACCGGAAAATGCTGACAATATGCACATCTAGATGTGGTACTGATCATTCCTGTAAAGTTTGGATGAAATTGCACCAGTAGTTTATGAGTAGTAGTCCTGACAAGTTTTGTGACGGACGGACGGACAGACAAACAGACAGACAGACAGACGGAGGAGAAGTAATCCCTATATGTCGCCACTACTCTGTAGAGACGACACAAAAATGACAGATTATGTATCAATGGAACAAAAATAACAAGGTTTCTTGGATTTTCTACTAATACAAACATTTTTTTTTTTTCAATTCAATTTCTTCACGTATTTCACTAAGGGCCACTTTCAAGTTTTACTTCTGACGCAACCTCAGTTGCACTTCTGTGCATTATTTAAGGCACAAACAGGCACCTGAGTAGAACCACTCTTGTTCCGTAAGCTGCCTTGATAGCTTCCTCACATGAAAAAATCCAAAGTTTAATCCACAGCAAGCCATTTGAAGTCAATGACCTTAACCATTCGACCAAGGATGCCCCAAAGTATAAGACATACTCTTTGTCATAACAAAACAAGAGCCACGCAACTACTAGCATATCAGAGATCTGTAGACCTAATGCTTTCTGCCAGTTTAATCTGATAAAATGGGAGTCTTATTTGTATGGTTGTTATTTACGCAAATTTTAACAGACTTTTTTGTTATATCATAGCAATTGGTCCATCTTACTAGTTCTACTGGATAACTAACCAATAATCTAACTACTATATCAACATGATTTTTTATCATAAAGTTATACTTTCTTAATATCTATAATCGAACTTTAGTATTGCTGTAGAACATAAATTAAAATACCTCCTATGACTTTATTCACTTACATTTGAAGACATTTTTGTACAAGTGGGTTGAGTATACCAGATCTAAGATGACTCTGTACAGCTACAGGGTTGTTCCTGGCTAATACCTGAGCAGCCTCTATGGCAATGTCATACAGTAGGAATGGACTCACTACTGCATTCACAACACTAGCTGTAAACTGCTGCAGGTAACTTGTACCTAAAATTGTATCAAATCAATTAAAACTTACTTACATTCACCGATGTCATTAAGTTGGTAAATCAAAACAATAGCTTGTAGTGAGGTAAAGCCTTCCATTATATAATTCTTAGTTACATTCTACATAAGAATAAATATACAAATTGACAGTGTCATAGTAATATCACCTCTATTTCACATAATACAACTGGCTTGGTCACAATACTAAGTGACATGTTATTTTCGTTATGAAAAAACAAAACAACAAAACATGTACATTATTCACAGTTAAACTAAACAATGTCTATAGAAAAATAGTACAGTATCAAGAATACAATATAACTAATATATCAGATGATATCTTATCACTATAAAAATTTACTTTCAAAGTGTGAAGACTCTGGTGATAGAATTATGATATTATGGCTAAAATTAAAGTTGTTTATCTATCAATCTATGTGTATTGACAGGGTATACAAAACAATGTTACTATTAAATATCAAGATCTTAAATAAAGGGATTTTTTACTTATCAAACTTGGGGTATCTTTTTTTAATATGAAATGACTTTTTAGCAATTGCGAAATTTATGAACAAAAATATCATACCAAGTTTCATTGAGATATTTAGGAGCCATTTTACATCATCTCCCATTGGTGGGTTTCTGGCATATTTTGTCTGTGGTCTGTCATCATGTACTCTTCTTGCAAGAGTTTCTACAGCTAAAATTCCTACTCTGAATGCAGCATGAAGATAATGTGCTTGTGTAGGATTCAATATAGGATTAGTCCCTGAAGTATGTAGATGATTAACATCCTCATTTGGTTGCTGAGGCAACGGCAAAGGAGCCTGTTGCGCTAGAATTCCCTGAATAGAAGCAACCTGACAGTTCTGACTAGGTAAAACTTGAACTTGCTGTCCCGGGGCAAGTTGGCGGTAGTGAGTGCCTGATGAGTATGCCGACTGTGGGATGTTGTTAAACTGCATTGGACTGTTGTATGTGAATGTCGCCACATATGGATGAATGTTCTGTGCATGCATGGGAATGGATTGTGAATATGGTGGGACAAATGGCTGGATCTGTTGAACAATGTTATATGTAGGTTGTACAAACGTTTGTTGATGTTGCATGGGGTGATGATGGTGGGGACTAGGCTGTGGGACTGGTGGAATGGCAAAAGGTAACACTACAGCTTGTGTAGCTAACTGTCCATTGTGTGAGAATATCTGAGCTGATGATACAGTAACTTGATTCATTTGATTAGCATTTGGTGGAGTGTTGCTGTATGGAGCAGCCTGCAAGTTTGCAGGACTCGAGCTTCCAGCTTGAACAGGAGACTGTGAGGGTGCCACAGGCACTGTAGGTGCTGACTGTGGTCTGCTCTCCCTTCCATTCCGATGCTGGTTATCATGACCAGGTTGATTGGCAGCTTCTTCTGATAATTCATACCATCTCTTAGCAACATGAAACAACACTTCCGGATAAACTCCTCCCCCTTTTGCTGCACTTTCAACAGCTAAACATGCCTTCTCCAGCATTTCCCTACTCTGTTCCTTACACTGGAACAATGCTCTTTGAACTTCAGATGGGTTAAGAGCATGAGCTTGGGGTAAGCATGACAAAGCAAGTTCAGCAGCAGCTCTAACAATGTTATGGTCCCGGCCTCTTGATGCTCTATCTGCCAATGAAGCAACTTCCGGAGGAGTCAGGTGCCCCTCCCATGTATCAATCAAAATATGGATAGCAGCACTGCCTATCTCCATAGCCTGTCCTGTTATTTTTAAAAGTAAGATTTAGATGACACTTTTATCAACAAAAAAAGCATGTAACATTATGAACATTATCTGTATTTACTTTTCTACATAATTTAACAGGAAAGACTCTTTATTACAAGTTTATTGCTTTTTTTAACATATATTTTGTTTATTCTTAAATAACAAGAGCAATCAGGACAGCAATCTCAACTATTCTCAGTGCTTGATAGTAAAACAAGTACCTGGATAATGTAGAACTCTCTTAGTTCAAAAAGGGCCATAATTCTGTCAAAATCTAGGCCTTGGACAGTAATCTATAAAGCACTCAAATAAGTATGTGAAGTTTCGCCAAAACAACCTCTCTCTTTCCATAAATTTAAATCTTCAGTAAATGGTATACAGTCGAACTTCGTTCGCTCGAACTCGGAGGGCCTGTGCAAATTTGTTCGAGAGATCGGTAGTTCGAGCCAACCGAGTTTGAACTATAATTACGTTGATCATATGCCTAAAGGTTTTTCTAGCTTACATCGGTCGAATGATAAATGCGTCAACATAATTGTTTGTTAGTACATCTATTTGTCGAATATTTCATATTCAGAATTATTAGCCCAGTGTTTTAATTAAGTATTAACGGTACGCTGTGTCAATCTATATTCATGCATATTGTAATTGGTTGAGTTCGATTGGGCAATCACACCAAACTTATTGAACAATGTTCAAAATGTATTTATATGTTTTCTAATGAGATGAATTTAATTTTTGAAAATAAATTAATGAACTATTTATTAAAAACATTTACAGCAGCATCTATTTGTAGTCATTTACTAAAATAAACACACATAGAAGTATCATTCTATAAAAAGATAACACTGTTACGATTCACTTTACATGAACCACGTTTGTAGTTAAAGCCGTCCTGGTAAACGGCATTCTTTATTGGCATGATTATTTTACTTATTTCACAAGTATTTTCTTTTTATTGTTACCATAAACGGCAAATCAATTATATTATCATACAAATAAATCGGTTACAACACCTCTTATTTTGTATCAATTAACCTTAATTACCCTTGTCACGACCACGAGGTGTTAAAAACATGCGTCGCCGACTGTCATTTATTTAAGGACATACCAACTTGTCTTTTTGTGTTCGACCAAAAAGGTGTGATTTTCACTATATTTCTGCCGAAGGAACCAGAAATCAGGTTCGAGAGTTCGAGCGATCGGTGTTCGAGCAATCCGAGGTAGAACAATATATATTATATAGGAATTTTGCCGGGACTGGGCATTGAGTTCGAGCGAAGGGAGGTATTCGAGCGATCCGAGTTCGAGCGAACGAAGCTTAACTGTATATCTTTTATTTTGTTGTCATACTCAACATTTATTTTAATAATTTAACCTACTTAGAAATATTTTATTCAATCAAAAACATACCATTCCTTTCTTTTATAAACATATTCAAACAATTTTCTTACCTGAAATCCATGAAACATGTGATGAGTATGTCCTGGAGAGCCAATTAGGAGCCACACAATTCTGTAAACCTAAAGCATAGAGACCAATTTGGAAAGAACACAACTGTAAATTGCGATGTGGACCAGTGGGTTGATTTGTATTGGACGGCTGAATAAACTGTGAGGTGGAGCTACTGCCCCCTGCCTTGTTTAATATTGTCTTAGCAACCTCCCACATCCAGTGTGCAGATGCTTCACTAGGCTGGTTTGGCACTGTGGGCATAATTCTACTCTTGCCCTTAAATCTGGTGATAAATACAAGAAATTTTGTGAAATTTATTTGCATAAATAACAGAATCATGTAATTAAGGAAAAAGTTATATTTACAGTATATACTGTATTAAGAGCACTTTAAACCCTGAGAAAAAGTCAACACAAGTGCTGTCAACTAACCTGAAAACATATTTTTTACTTAGAATTATTCTGTTCAAACTAGAACTGCCACTATCATGGCGTGAATACCCCCGCATACCACTTTGTCAGAATCAACAGTGGCCATTTAGAGCTCAAGGACAACCTCCCTGCCAAATCTGAGGTTACTAAGCCAGTGCATTGCTAAATTATGTATTCTACATGCTTCAAATGTGAAAATGTCAAAATCAATACATTGCGGACAGGACATACTTTAGCAATTGAGAAGAAAAGCTTTTTTTGTCAAGGTCCCTGTGACCTTGACCTTTGACCCAGTGACCTCAAAATCAATAGGGGTCACCTTATAGTCATGACCAACATCCATGCCAAATATGAAGACTGTGGGTCAAAGGAATCTAAAGTTATTGGGTAGACAAACTTTTTGAAGTCAAAGTCCCTGTGACCTTGACCTTTGACATGGTGACCTCAAAATAAATAGGGGTCATTTACTAATCATGACTAACCTCCATCGCAAATATGAAGACTGTGGGTCAAAGGAATCTTAAGTTATTGGGCGGACAAGCTTTTTGCAGTCAAGGCCCCTGTGACCTTGACCTTTGACATGGTGACCTCAAAATCAATAGGGGTCATCTACTACTCATGACTAACCTCAATGCCAAATATGAAGACTTTGGGTCAAAGGAATCTTAAGTTATTGGGCGGACAAGCTTTTTGAAGTCAAGGCCCCTGTGACCTTGACCTTTGACCTGGTGACCTCAAAATCAATAGGGGTCATCTACTACTCATGACTTACCTCCATGCCAAATATGAAGACTGCGGGTCAAAGGAATCTTAAGTTATTGGGCGGACAAGCTTTTTGAAGTCCAGGCCCCTGTGACCTTGACCTTTGACCTAGTGACCTCAAAATCAACATGGGTCATCTACTAATCATGACTAACCTCCATGCCAAATATGAAGACTATGGGTCAAAGGAATCTTAAGTTATTGGGCGGACAAGCTTTTTGAAGTCCAGGCCCCTGTGACCTTGACCTTTGACCTAGTGACCTCAAAATCAATAGGGGTCATCTACTAATCATGACTAACCTCCATGCCAAATATGAAGACTGTGGGTCAAAGGAATCTTAAGTTATTGGGCGGACAAGAAAAAACCGACGGACGGACGGACCGACAAGCTGATTCCAGTATACCCCCCTTACAACTTTGTTGTGCGGGGGTATAACTATACATTGTTTTTTTATTTACATTTATAGCTTCAGTGCATGAGAATTTAGCACTTATTATGTATCAGTATTATAACAAATATTGCGAATGCTCATCTCATGGTTTTGATAAAGTAATAAATGAACATGATTTACCAAATTTCAAACAATTTAAAAACAACATATATATACCCTTACCTTATCCCTTTAAGATTCGGTGTTGAGCTTCTCGAATCTAAGATAAACTGAGATGTTGCAGCAATTCTTTGATTTAGTTGACCAACAGGACTGTAACAGAAGTCAATGAAAAATTTCACATCAGATCATTTTTGTGTGACTTTAAACTTCATAAGTTTAGTGATAAACAAATTCCTTAGAGCTAATAATTCATACTTGTCTGAATGCAATCTTCCTTATCCTTTATCAAAATATCTAACTAATCTACAGCAAATTTAAGTCACACGGTGAGAAAAATGTGCAGCCTGACATGGACTCGAACCCTGAACCCTGGGAATACCGTACCGCAGCTCTACAGACCGAGCTAACGGGCCGCTTACACATCATCTCCCCTAAATAGTGAACAGTTCTGAACGGTGACATACTCCCCTGCTATACTGAAATTTGTCCTCAAATTTCTCAGGGTTACAGATGCTAATTGCTAATTAAACTCTGAGCTATATGCAATCACGGTTCACCGTTGGGCGCCAAATGTCAAAGGGTGAGAAAAATGTGCAGCCTGACCAGCACTCGAAACAGGGACCCTCGGAATACCGTACTGCCTCTCTACCGACTGAGCTATCCGGCCGCTTACACATCTCCCCTAAATAGTGAACAGTTCTGAACGGTGACATTTACTATCAAACTAAATCATGAATTACAAAGAAGACCACTACAATACCTTTCATCCCTGATTTTTGCTCTCAAGTCTCCCTTATCCCCTGAACTAGATGATCCTAGAGAGTCACTATCACCACTAGATCCACTATCACTGCCTGGCCCCTGATGTTTGCCCCAAGCTCGACGTACTAGTGTAGGAGAGTTATCACTTGAAGTTGTTTCAGGGGCACTACTGTCAATGGCAGCCATACCTAGTATTCAATTAAAAGTATTTTAAAAGCATTCTTAAATGACTCAGATTATTTACATTTCAATCTACTCAAATTCATATGACCTTTACAGTGTTGGTGTGAAATTAAACCCAACAAACAATATATCTTTCAATATATAGAACATATCAATCATAGATTAAAGTCATTAAGTTATAATGAATTATTATATTATAAATTTTGCAACACTTTCATACAACTATCATTCATAAATGTATACTGCTTAGATTCCACGTTGAGGACATGTAGTTTGCTAATAAGTGACATTATGCCCATCTAAGTCAAAATAACTTTAGATTTTGCCATAATTCTATAGTTTTCAATTTACAGTCTATTCTATGTATATAATCAATATTACACGCCTTACTCAGATATTCTATAAGTAGCCTTCGGAATGTATTGTTTATATTCAGTTGATAGAAAGAGTGGAGCAGTCTTTTTATATTGCAGGCAGTTGCTTTACTGTTTTTTTATCCTAAACATTTTTCACTATCAATTACTGGTCAACTTGACAGTGAAACAAATGAGCATAATGTCACATTAAGCTCTTAGATAGTTTTTTTCTTTTAAAAATTTATACTTTTTTAAAAACTAAAACACCCATTAGAAGAAAAGAATAGGGAAAGCAACTTAATCTTTAGAACAAAGACAAATATAGACAACATTTATATCTCTTTACAGATTCCATTTCGAATAATCGCATACAACCAGTTTGAAACCATTAAGATACCTTGCGATGGTTTCTTCTTCAAAGCCATACACCTCAACTTAGCCTCCAACGCCTTGTAATTGTCCCCTTCTTCCTCCACAGCTGAACTGTCTGTGTCTCTACTACAATTAACAGAGAATTTGCCTTATCAGACCTTATTCAAACAAACATCTGTTGAAAAATTACTGCTAAATATTCATTACAAAAGGACTAGAAAGCTGTTTTCTCCAATAACAAGGTCACCATATAAATTTACATAAAGTATATTAATGCCTCCATATGAGCCAAAATATTTCAAGAAAATCAAACTTGAGAAAAATGTACTAAGATTTTAAGTAAAAAGACTTAAGTAATAATTTACATGCTATGTGCAATTTATAACTGATTTTGCAGTATTTATCACTACATTTTTACTGCTTGACCACTGCAGTACGAGCTTTTTTGTACACTTTTACCTCTTTTTGGTAATTTACATATATATTAAGTGCTATTTACAATGTGTACATTACTTTTTTTGTTCGCTTCACAATATTTTACTTTTAAATACATTTTTAAAATCTTCATGACAATAAACACGAATGTGGATGCATGGTGCTTTGATAGTGGAAATGGTTCAAAGGTTAAAATTTGTCTTACCTTTGACCATATGTTAATGTATATGTTGTTTTTGGTCTGGCTCCTGATCCTGCTGCACCTGAGCTAGAAGTTGCCCCTGATGGTCCAGGTCGTGGATCAAAGTCATCTGTTGGAGGGAACTCATCAAGTTCCGAGGCTCTTGTTCCTCCAGACACAGATGGTCTCCCTGTACCTCTGTTTGTATGATGATCTCTAGACTCACCATTTGCAGCAGAGGGAGCTGAAGTGGGTGGTGTAACAGTGACTGTATTTCTAGGTGTCAGGTATGTTACCAAACTAGGTGCCTTATAAGAGGGATGTACTTCTTTGTCCAACAACTTGTCCATTATCTATATAATATAATACAAAACACACATTTAAAGATATAAATTTTTTCATTCTTATCAGTTCCTAGTCAGAAAATGAGATCTGCCAATTTTTTAACAAAATAACAATCCCTTGATGAAAATTCATTTTCAAATCCATTAATTCAATCATCCGGCTTGAATAATTGCAAATATTGATTTACAAAAGTTGCTTAGTACTTCACTTCAGGGTTGTTATATTCCTCTAGTCCTTTAAGATTCCAGCACAATTAACTGTTTAAAATTGAATTATAGCTTAAGTCAGCGCTAAGGGGTGTGAGAGAATGATGCACTTTTACATTATCTCTCATGGACAGAATCAAATTGCAATTTTCATGTAACTTTGTTGCTTTCATTGTTCCAAGGTATATCCCCTTTTCCAGATTTCTTTACTTGATAGTTAATTAAAAGTTGTCTTAAAGTTGCTAAAGGTAAAATAATTCCTTCAGAAGACAGGATAATAGAATTAATTAATAAGTCACAAATCTTAACATATGATATATAAATCTTACTTTGCTCAATTTAACAACATCATCTTTGTAATGTATCAGCATGGCAAGAGCAAGTTCCCCTCTCTGTTTTCTAGTACTCTCACACAACAGTGGATGGTCAGCTTCAGATACATTTGCTTTCATTCCTAAAAAAAGCATATACAGTAAACTCCGCTTATAACGAACTCATTGGGACATTCAAATTCTGTTCCTTATATCCGGAGTTCCTTGTAAGCATATAGCGAATTAGTTCCTTGTATCAGGAGTTTTTATAGCGAACAGATTTACATATAACGAACTGATTGTTAAACATCATCCGCCATTTTTAAGAGCATTTGATTAAGAATAATTAATCATTTATTTCTTTTTTAGACACAATACCCGAGAGCGTACATTTTGGAATTTGAAAATCCTTTGCTATTTCAGTTTTAGTGTTACTCCCTTTCTCAATTCTTCATAAAACATCATATTTTGTTTCTTAACTCACTGCACTGTGCTTTTCATTTTCTTTCAATGAATAAGAATAAACAAAATTTTCCATTTTTCTTCCTTTTATATTGAATATATTCTATTATATTTTAAGGGTGACTTTAACTAATAATATATAGATTTCTTTTCATTTCAATCAAGCATACTTTGTAGTTTTCTATGGATTATGTTTGCAAGCATGCGTGATTATGTTGAAAACCGATAATTATTTTACTCGAGCAAACTATTAAAGAAAAGAAATTATAGAATAAAAGGAATTACCGTTTTATCTTTGTGACAAGAACTCAAGCTAAAACAATTCTAAATAGAAAACTATTACATACTTCTATACAAATTCATTTTCATATATTGAATTACATACAACAATAAACGGTACATTCCGCGAGATTTATTCCGTGCCAATGAAAACGAAAGTTGAAAATGCGGGATATATTTACAAATAGACGATATTTGGAGTTCGTTATAAAAGTGTAATTTGATGCACTTTTAACTAAATTGGGACTAAGAAATGAGTTCCTTGTAAGCGATAATTCCTTATAACCGTGTTCGCTGTAACCGTATATTTTTTTATGAAATAAAGAAGGGCAAAATTCGGGCCAAAATAAATTGTTCCTTATAACCGGAAGTTCGCTATAACCGTGTTCGCTATAAGTGAAGTTTACTGTACTACTAATTTCAGATTAAGCATTAAACATTATCATGTCCTGAAAACATCATCAGAATTAATAGTTTATTTACAAAAATACATGCATATCAAATTTATTCTAGCTCCTGATCAGTTCTTGTAGTTTTCATAAGTAAGAAAATGAATGATCAAATAAGACAAATAATCTTATTAGAAACCAACACTGTCCAATAACTTTAACAAATGATGCAAACTTAATTCAGCCACACATATACCACAGCATTCTAACATGTATAAAAAAAACATTTACCAAGGGAGGCAACACATCCATCAAAACCAAGTTTTTCATCTCCAGGCTGTTTACATACTGATGCACCTTGATGGGACATACATGACAGAGATGATGTCATGGGACATGCTAAAAAAGACAAAACATAATCTAAAATCATACTGATTCATAAATTATTTGCAAGATTTACTACACCATCAAAATAGCCATTCAGTACAAGATTATTAACATTCTAGAGTCTAAATTTCAAAGATTCATTTGTTAATGGCCTTTTTTTCTGCTTTTTTTTGTTGGGTTTAACATCACACCAACACAATACAAGTCATATGGCGATTTCCAAGTTTTAATGGTGAAGGAAGACCTTAACCCTTTACTCCACAGATACGCGAATCTACTCAATTATCCATTCCCCCATAGATACGTGAATCACCGCACTCATCTCATCTCCATGTATACTCGAATCACCGCAACTGTCTTATCTCCATACATACGCGAATCACCGCAAGCAAGTTTAAATGCAATTTATAAATAAAGTATAAATGCGAGGAATCCCATGAAATCATTTATGTAAACTTTAATCAAAGTTCTACCAGTTGCCGATGTAAAATTTTGTGGTTTATATTGAAAATTTCTGGACAGGTAGAGTTTAAATCACCACGTGTTTACTGCAGATTTACTGGTAAATCTTACGACCTTGACCACGGAAAAGTACTGGGAGTTTTTCCCTAGCCGAGATAAATATAGCTTGGCATGCCCCAGTTACATGACAAATTCAATATTTTTAGCACATTTATATTTAGAAAGAAGAATTGATCATGTAATCACCAAAATGTGTAAATCAAGGGGTATTTTACATGTTAACAGTTGGACATGCTTTGTGCTATTTAATTTTAAAAAGTTTGTTGATAGAAAAGAAAAAAGGATTAAACATTAGTTTTGTGTAAATGTGTTGACAGTTTTGGTGTTATGTAAGTGCAAATTAATTAGCCAATAAAATCACGGAGAACGGTATATCACGCTGTGCAATGGAATTTATGCAAATTAGCAAGGGGCCATTTAATTAGTTGACTCGTGGTACATTGTTTATTCAGTATCGCACAGCTGTCAAAACAAAGCAATCAAGGCTGATTGTCGGCATTATTTTAAGATGGTTTTTTTTTAAAGAAAAATGCATAATATATATACATGGATTATTAAATAAATAGGCATTAAAAATATTACATTCATAATGAAAACAGAAATAAAATATAGTAATACTATTGTGTTTTTGCCTTTTTATCTTCAAAGCCCCTCACTTTATAGATCTTTAACCCTAAAACATTATATGCCAGCCCTTTTCTAAAATTACATTTAAAAAAACCTTTTACACCAAACATTTTTTTTAATAGAATTTAAAAGTGCAAAAAATAATTAAATTATCTGAAAAGTAGCTAAATCATTGTAAATTAGTAAACTGTTTGGTTTAAAGCCTCATATCTCTAGATATATTTTTCACATTTTCATGAAAAATACACCATTAGAAAGATAATTCAATTTAGAAAATACTTTATATTGGTCACTAATTGATTACTACAAGATTTAATAAAGTAATACTGATTTAAATAACACTGATGTAGATGTTTGTATTTTTCCCAATAACCTGTATGGAGATAGTGTACAGTACACTGATAAGAGTGTATTGGTTATCAGTCATCAATAGTGATAAGGTAGTATGGACATGATAAGGGCAATTAAGTTAAATGTGTATGGGGTAAAGGGTTAAGTATCCTTCTCTGCATTATTTTAGGCACAAACAGTCACCTGAGTAAACCACCAAAATCCCGTAAGATAGCTGTATAGCTTTCTCAAATGAGGGAATCCAAATTCCTTGTTGGGATTCAAACCCACAGCTGTAAGGGGCAAGTGGTTTAAAGTTGATGACCATAACCACTGGTCTTTAAAAGTGAAAATCATTTTCTTTCTAGTTATAAAGTAAGATCCTCTGGCATAACATAAGCTATAAGGATAGTTTAAGGTTATATAGCCCAGTAAGAAAGATTGTAGGCATACAGCATGCAACCATTTGTGCTCAAACATATGACCTGTAATTCAAACTAGTACATAAAATTACCTCCAAGACAAAAAGCATCAAATATAAAGCTGGCAAGAGAGAGAGGTAACAATGCTTCTCCCCTTGATTTTATTGTTCCTTCTTTTAGTTGATCTGCCCTCTGACGTAATATTGCCATCTCCAAAGGTCCTAGTGGGATTTTCTTCAACAATGTCAAAAGTTCTGTCTCCTGGTAGGCCAATTTTACCTGAAAAATTATTTACAAGTTCTCATAACTTTAAACTTACACTTAAACATGAGCTGAAGGACAGCTTCCTGGACTTTTTCAGTCCTCATATATGCAAAAAACAACAACATTAAGTGAATTCAGTTAATGGTTATCACAATTTTATAACAATTTTGTAGTCACAAATGGGCATAATTCTGAGATAAAAAATATATAGATCTTAGATGATGACCTGTAAATATGATCACATAGAATGTTTATGAAAATTAAGAAATTCTCATATATTAAGACAGATGTTACACACAAAGAATTTTATTGTTCATTCAAATGATATGAATAGGCTGATGCTGCTAGGTTGCATATGTCAAACCCATTATTCAATGAACCCACTACTTCTTTAAAATTATTTAAGCTAAAAAATATATTTCCATATTCAATAGACATCAAGCACTTGTAAATTGTAATATGAACAATAAGATTGCATGTTCATAAATGAAAACATTATAAAACAAAAATGTGGTAAGGTAAATTTCTAACCTCCATGCTTTTACAGGATGCAGGTGGTCGTGGCATCTCTAATACAAACATTCCCATCTGGAAGGCTAGATGCCAAGTTTCATGTTCCTCAAGTAGGACACTACACAAGAATGCAGCCTTTGAAAGTGTTGTACTTGCCAGCATTGTAATACTTGTCAATGCCTTCTTTCTCTTTCCTAAACAAAAATAAATACATTTAATAATAACCTTAATCATGTAATCATAAGTGATGATTAAAATGAAAGCTGGTTAGATTTTTTCTGAGATGAGTTTATTTTGAATACGAGGTGGTCATTTTGCTTTTATCACATACAGCTAAGAGTTTTTCAAGTTCTGAGGCAGCTAAAATGCATTCAAGACAGGCATCAAGCTACCTCCTAATGACACCCCTGTGCCTATGCTTGTAGTATAAAAGCAAAATACTGTAGTCTGACCAGACTCTTTACCTTTGATTTCTCTTTTTTAACATCTGATTGAAAATTCCTTAAAATAAAGGGTATTTCGCAATACTTACATTAAATAATTTTGCGATCCTAGTCACAATCACAGATTCGAGGTGGAAATTTTTTTTCAAGCAAAATCAATCCTTTGTTAAATAATAATATATTGACAATTTAATGAGTAATCTGATGACAAATGTTAAAACAACAATAAAACCACATGGCAAACTTATTTCAAACACCTATAAAAAAAATAACATCTCAACATTACTCCAGTATTGTACAATAAATTTACAAAATCGATCTTACCTTTCACATTAGGTACAGCAGCACTCTCTGCCAGCAAATCTGGAGGGTTTTGAAGCAGGTCCTCAGCTAACTGCTGAGCTAGCTTACAGGCCTCTTTTGTATGACCATGAGCATGCAACGCTTCAGCTCTAGCAAACAAGATCTGACAAGTAAAAAAATACTGTGTTTTCAATATCCAAACTTTGAGTTAATACTTGTAACTGCTAGGGGTGTAACAATACAGCAAAAACCGTGTTGCAATATATTGCCATTTTGCTGAAGCGTATTGCAATATATTGCAATACGTATTGTCGTGTATGTTTTGATGTAAAGATGGAGTAACATTTATATATTATTATTAATATATGTAAATATTTTTAGTAGAAACTTAATAAAAATGTAAGGAATAAATAGAAAGTAGTGTCACACAATTTGATAAACAAAACTAGTCGCGTGTGAGCTTCACATCTGGGCCGCTTATGTAAAGTTTGCGGCCGCTTATTGACTTTTAAGTGTACTAATTGTCGGATACTTTTATCTTACGTTGGCGCCAACAAAATTTGCCAATTAAAGATTTTATGTGAAATTTGTACAAAATTTATGGTGGCATATTTCTGCCACCAGATAACCTGATAACTTACTAGTTAATTAAGAGGTTAACTAGTTACGTAACTAGTTAACCTAATACCTAACTAGTTAATTAAGAGGTTAACTAGTTACGTAACTAGTTAACCTGATAATTTACTAGTTAATTAAGAGGTTAACTATAGTTACTTAACTAGTTAACCTGATAATTAACTATTTAGTAATATGGTTATCTGGTGGCAAAAATATGCCACCATAAAAATTAGAAGGCAATTAATTGAAAATTATGATTTTTTATAAAATACCGGTTTTCCAAAAATCGTACCGCGGTTCGAAATTTATTTTTTCATATTGCAATATATTGGTATACCGGTAAACCGTTACACCCTTAGTAACTGCACTAATTTAAAAAAAATGAAAAGCGACAATGCAAATCTGCGAGTGTGAAAAAAGGTAAAAACAATTCATTATTCACGTAACAATACTATAAACAGTAATATTATGCAACCATTTTGCCAAAAAGATCTTTGTCAGAAAACCATTTATAATATGTGTGAAAGTGTATTATATGAATAATTTAAAATCTTTTTGTATCATTACACTCATGATTTCAAGAAAATTATATAGCATTATGATAACAAGAATTAATATTTCTTAGGGTCATGTAATGATTGGAAAGCATCATCATAAGTTTATGACAAACAACAATGACAACTTTTTCTAAAACTATGAGAAATAAATTACTTACATCTTGTCTATTCTCCAGACATTTAACACCAGCGAAGAAATTGGGTTCTTCAGTGTTCTTTTCTTTCCTTTTCTTGTCTAACTCGGTCGCTTTAGCTCTATCATAAAAATACATAGAATATTCATCTCCAGACATTTGTGACTCAGAGGATTGCTCAGCATTTACACTCGCCCCAGCACTAGCTACTGATAAGCCAGATGTTGAGGGTTGCACTTCATCATTTCTTCCTTGTGCAGCTAACTCCATAAAACAGTCAACATCATTATTTTGATTATCAATTTTACTATTATTGTTTTGTTTTGATTCCCTACTACTGGGATTAAATAATCCAAAAGATTCAGCATCTTCTAAAGAGTTACTTCTTGATGTGTGTTCTTTCATTTCAGACCCGGAATCTGAATCTCGGAACAAAGAGCTACCTCTCTCCGGTTCACAGAAACCCTCTGAACCAGAGCTCATGGCACCGTCATTATTGTGACCCTGACCTGGCCTACTTGGGTGACGATGTCGCTTGTTTTTCATTTCTTGTGGGGAATGATGTTCATTTAACATATTTGTTGCCTGAGCTAGTGTTGTCATGTCATCTGTGCTTATTAGATTTTCAGAGCATACAGCCATTGGCTGTATCCTTGATGGTTTTTTGGCATCAGGATCTAAGTTTCTATTAAACCTATATCTCAAACAAGAGAACATCTGAGAGTCAGAGTATGTCACACCAGGTATATGATAATCATTCCACTGTAATATACAAGCTTCTATTCCAGGTTTAAATCCACTAAAATTCTCTATTTCAGACTTCTTTAATGTGCCACCACTACTTCCTGAATTACTGTTCCGAGCTCGTTTCACTTTGTCAACAGTAGATATATGCCATTCTTTAAACTTTGCACACATGTCATCTTTCTGAGATGGACTGAGTTTAGGATTAAGGGCAGCCAATTTCCATAGGTTGACTATTTCGTCACATAGACTAGAAGCTGCATGCTGTGTAATACTTGCACTGCTGTTACTACTTGACCTTGAACTGATCTGATTGTTGTTATTGTTTGAAATCTTCGTCATAAACCACCATATCAAAATCTGAAAAATATACATTCTTAAATTGAAATATCAAGCAATTTTTTCTGCACCTTACAATAAAAAGCATACAAAATCATTGATCTTCATCTGTATAGTATATTTGTAATTTAAATATTCACAAAAGACATTTTACAATTCATTTTTCCAAGGTCTATATAAATTTGCTTATAAGTTTTATATATATACGTTACATACTCAGAATAATTTCCAGCACAACTTAAAACTATGTACAAACATTAACTAATAAATCCTTAAACACCATTTTATGATAAAATCATAAACTAGATGATTTAAAAAAGAAAACAATGCATATGAAAAATATTAAAATTTTTGAAAAAAAAATTATTATTGTACACTTTTATACGTTTTCAATAGAAAAGTATCTGTGTACCTGTTCACATTGGAGAACCTCATCTGTAATGATTTCCAGGAGTGGCAGGGCATTATGGTCACTTCTTCTGAACATTTCTCGTGCAATAGACAGCAAGTTCCACATGCCTTCAGGTTCACGTCCCCTCAGAGGCCGTAACAAACTTTGCCATTCAGCAGCTGCTGGTGGTGCTGTCTGTGTCAGGAAATTTACATCACTGTAATGAATAAACAATGCTTTTATTGTTCACATTTAAACACACTTAAAGTGTCAAGACAGGTAAAAATTAATTTGGAAAATTTAAAATTTATTCAATGTTTAACACAGTAAAAATCCCCACTAGTGAATTAATATAAACTAGAAAGTTTTTTTGTCACATAAACATGTTTCCCATGTTTCAGGGCTCTAGCTAGACCAAAATTTTAGGGAGAAGTGACTTCTCCCTCAGCTCCTATCAGGGAGAAGTTTGACGACATAAGGAGAAGTGAAAAAGTGCTTAGTACATTGATTTGATCTATAAAAAAGAGTTTTACCTATTTATTGATAGTAATATTTGAAGTATAAGTTCTAAAACCCTCTATCATCAGACCATTATAATGTTTTCTTCCTGATTAACTCCACACACCCCCCTCCCTTAAGAAAATATTCATTGTACAACACATACTGGCAAAATTCTCAATGAAAATTGATGTAAACGATACCTTAAGGAATTTTCATTAATAAACTATATTTGAAGTGCTATTGGACATATTTTAACAAAACAATTTTTCCTTTTGGTAACTATTATTTTCATCGTAAAAATCGGCATCGCGAAAATATGTGACAAATGAAAATTTGTCTGTTTCCTGCAGAAACACTTACAATTCTCGTTGTTGTTGATTTTGGTTATATTTAATTAAATATTCAATGATTATTTTTAGATTGTTATTCATCCGCTATTGCAACAGGCATTGTAAAACAAAATTTTCAAATTTGTAGTTTACCGCATAATTTACCGACGTTTATGTAACTTTTTGAAGACAAAGTTTATCTACTACTGTTTTTGACTTGTCCAAAATTGGTCTAATGTGGGTCAATGTTTTTTAAGTTCTTTAACAAATTTCATTTTTACTATCAAACAGGTATCAAACCATTTACTTGTGCTTCTGTGTGTATTAATTTATATGCAAGTAAATTTACACGGTCTGTGTGAGGTTGCGTGTAATTACTGTCAAATATGGTAAAAGCAATTCTTGGTGTAATCTTTTTACACAAAATAGTGGCAGGTGTCGTAAAATTATGCCTAAAAAATGTGATGTTTACATCGGCGAATTTCTGATGCATCTGCATATCATGTCACTTAAATGTGTTAATTGATGTCAATTATCGGCAGTAACTGCATGTGCGTCACCAATTCACTTTGATTTATGCCTGGAGGCAAGGATTAACTTAATTAACATGCACTGTATGATATATATGTACATGTGGTCAGTAAAAAAATGCGGCGAAATCGTTTTCGCTTTGATGTTCAAACTCGGCGAAGTTCTGACACTTTAGGCGACTAAGTCGCCGAAATCGCCCAGTTGCTAGAGCCCTGTGTTTGTACTCTAGAATGGAACAGCAGCATGTAAATCCCACCAGCAGTTTGACCTGTGAAAGCCAGACAAGATTTTTTCTATTTTAAGCTGTAGCAGTCATTTTGTGCAGGGAAGCGGAACATGCCGGACATATGCCAACAAGGGTTGGCACTGATCACTCCTGTTAAGTTTCATCATATTCCCATCAGCAGTTTGACCTGTGAAAGCTGGACAAAGATTTTCTATTTTAAGCTCTGGCAACCAGTTTTTGCAGCAAACAGAACATGCCAGCAATATGCACACAAAGGGTTTATACTAATAACTCCAGTGAAGTTTCATCATTTTTCAGCCAAAAAGGATTTTCTATTTCTAGCTCTTCAGCCATTTCATGCAGCAAAGCCGAATGTGCTAGCAATATGCATAAAAAGGGTTTCTACTGATCACTCCAGAGTAGTTTTGTGGAAATCCCTTCAGCAGTTTGTCCTGTGAAAGCTGGACAAGGATTTGCTATTTTAAGCACTGGTGACCATTTTGTACAGCGAACAGAACATGCCAGAGATATGCATAAAAAGGGTTTCTACTGATCACTAGTTTCTTTGTAGTTTCTTCAAATTCCTGCCAGCAGTTTCACCTGTGACGGACAAGGTCTTGTGGCCATTTTGTGCAGCAAAGCGGAATGTGCCAGTGATATGCACAACTAGGGTTGGTACTGATCATTCCTGTGAAGTTTTATCAAAATCCCATCTGCATTTTGACCTGTGAAAGCCAGACAAGTTCAATACAGACAGACAGATGGCGGAAGCAAAAACAATATGTATCCCGAAAATTTTCGTACACATAATACTACATCTTTAAAATATATTCAGTCAAATACCTGAAAACAACTGGAGAAGGTACACAAAACTTGACTAATGTTTTCTTCACATTTTCATGAAGTTGTTTCTCATCAAGACACCATGAAGTCTCCTCATTGGCTTCTGGCCCAGCAGTTGGGTCTGGAGCACCACTTATTGTGTTCATTTCACACTCTTTGGATGATATAAGCTTGTCAAGCAATTCTTGGGCTATTGGAAGAATCTGAAAAAGAATGTTGCAACCTATTAATATAAAGGCAGTGCATTATTTATACAGTGAGCCTTGAATAAAGCAAACTCATCAGGATCATTGAGTTATTGTAAGCTATATCCAAAATTTCTTATAGCAAATATATGGAATAACTATCTTATGAACAACATAATTATAACAAACACAACTTTATAACCTGAATCCAACAGAAGTGAAAAAGAAAGCAAGTTGTAGAACAATTACCTAGACAAGCGTTCTGACCAAGTTTCATGACAGGTGTGTCAAAAATGTGACCACTTTGACCTAGTTTTCCATCCGAAATGACCCAGTTTCGAACTCATCCTAGCAATTGACTAAACAAGCATCCTGACAAAGTTTGATGATGATTGAGTCATAAGTGTGACCACTAGTGTGTTCACAAGCAATTGTGGACGTACGACGGACATTAACCGATCCTAATAGCTCACCCTGAGCAAGCTCAGGTGAGCTAAAAAGGATTGGAGTTATGCTGCAAGTAAGTATTCTATCAACAAAATTATTATTTAAGATAAAGAGGGAGGAAGATTAAGTCCTAGCAAGAGTATTCCTTGTATCAGAGTTTGTGCTATATCCAAGTTCACTTCAAGTCAGGGTCACTGTAATGATTTATATAGAAGCAAAGGGCAGTATCTATATAATATAATCTTGGAATATTGAAAGTACTTGACTTCCAATGAATCCCAGTCTTACCTCTTTTGGCATTTCAACAATAAGATATTGGGCAAATTTCTGCAACTGATCTCTCTGCAACTGTGCCAGACTTTCAGACACTGGTACACGCTGTGTTACTGACGAGCACTAAAATATATAACAAAACTTTAAGACTCCAATGTTCAACCTAAGTATTCTAAAGACCTAAACTAAAGTAATAATATGTTTTTCGGTGTGCAACCAGTTTTTTTTTAAAGTATTTCAGCCATGCTTAGGCAGGCAATTATTTATAGAAAATTATGTTTATGATTATGAGCTACTTACATTACCAAGCAATGTTGCAAACTATTAACATATAAACCACTACATAAATCAGAATTCATAAAAGAAAGTTATTTTTAGTATTCTGACACTATATGAAACTAGATTGGAAAAAAAATTACATTGGGCTTGCTTATTTTCTTAGACTGGTAATTTTTAATCACGTGGCATGTCTTGTGCTTTAATATCTTGTTATAATCAGTAAGTTTTTGAGTGGCATCATTCCAGCAAACTATACTTTCTGAGCACATTAAAACTTGTATTAAAATATTAATATACTGTGTCTGCAATCTTTAACTCAAGTTAACTCTAATGCATTAAGTTCCATATATACCCCTTTGATTATGAATTGATAAATGCAAAAGAGATGTTTTATATAAAACTCATCTGGCTTTTTGTTCAATACACAAGTCATCCTCAACTAACCTGGTGAATCCTGAAGAGACAGACAGCTACAACATGGGAACACCAGAATGCATTGCTGTTGCAAGTACATGTGCACTGAGTGATCCTTCTTCTGTCAAACAGTATTGCCACTTTATAACTTCCTTTTTGCTGTGGCAAGTTGTGGGGTGGATCAACAGTTGCACTGAGGTGAAATCCTGCAAGAGACGTCACATGCATGAATATTTGTTCATGATACGATTTTTAACCAATACATAATTATTACTTTAATGTAACATTTTTTAGATCTTTAATTTTTTTGTTATGTTCAGCTTGGTACTTTCCCTTCAATGCCAAAAGTTTTTTCTAAGCTAAAAACTTTATTTAATACCATGTTATGCATTTTTCTGCAATGATTTCCTTTACATCTAACAATCATTTCCTGTAAAAAAAAATCAGTTTTCTGAAACTATGATTTACAATTTAATCATAAATTATATAGTACATGTCAAATTAACTAATCATGAGCCAAGGCCTGTTCAATCTTTTCAAGCATTTTTGAGGAGATAACATGATAAATATTCAAAGATTAGTCAATTTGCTCACTTCCATTAACTAAATATCTAACTGACCCAATAATTGATATGATAACCAGTGATAATTTATCAAGATCTACTATCATATACATTAATTACCAATTTGCAAGGCTTTTTTGACAGCCTTCCCCTTGTATAAATGATCTCCTTTCTGAAACTCCTCTGCACTGCCATTTGCTAGGCAAGAGTAAAGCCTGAAATAAACATAATATTACCTACAATTTTCAATTCTGCTCAGTATGTTAGAAACTGGTTGGACATGACTGAAAATAGTAAGACTCCATGTCAGATGAAAAGTAAATAATACATACAATCAAGACATTGAAATGCCATATCACAAACACGATATATATTATTGGATACTATAAATGAAAAAGACCTTAAATAAAGCATAAATTCCATTACATTTCAATGTAAAACAAAATAAAATGTAGACCTGATATCTTCCTCGCTATCTGGGAAGCTCCAGTATGTGATTCTAAGCTGAAGTGGTTCTGGTATGGGCTGGGGGTATTTCTCTACCACGCCATAGGGGATATTACATGCCACAGTCTGAGAAGCAAGCTCTACCAATGACATTACTGGGTGACCTTCTGAAAAATATATTAACATGTTAAGATAAAAGAGGTAATAATACAATTAGCAATACTAGACTATCATTTTCAGTATCATTACTGTGTTATACAGAGTAGTAAATCATTTCTTATGTTAAATGTGTTGAGTTTGTAAAATTTTGTAAAAATACACACATTTGCACCTATATTAATTATATCTATTTGAGTGTTAATAAAGGAACATTTATCACATGTGTACCAGCTGTTCAAACAATCAGCATCATTGTTGGTTTTCTTTACTTCTCACTAAGTAGCTCATCAATCAATTCTGGATCTTTATAAATTAACTTTTGAATTCATATTTCAAATTAATTGCTTTCTGTGGCACATATTGTCTGTCAAAAAAGGGGGGTCATGATTTTATCAATCAGAAGCTTTAAAGCACTTAAAAATCTTTTTGTAAGATAGTTAACCGAAATTTAAAAAGGAGTTCATATATAATATGCAGTGTTTACAAATTCACAAAAGAAAATTTTCAATTTCGTTGAAAGTATACATTTTAATATACATTTGACAACTATGTTCTTTATCATTTGAAAGTGACAAAAGGGTGGTAGACCCTATCTCAAACTGTGGTTTTAAATTCTATAGAGCTCCACTTTGAACACATAATGAATGTGTCTGACAACAAAGCCTGAATATGTGTAGGATCAATGAATCAATAACATTAGATTTATTACGGCAGGTTCAGTTAAACATGCACAAATGAAGTCAAACCAATAAACCAAGCTGAATGACTATCCCAGAGAGTTTAATGGTTTTGTATTTTTACAGAGCAGAATCTTTAATCCATTTTAAGAATAAGGCTCTGAGATAAAAGTGGGTCAGTCTAGCACCTGCTCTATAGTTACATGCAGTGCAGTCATATCACATAAAACAATACTGTTTTGTTTTTTTTAACAAATGCATCAAGGCAAATTCTGATACATTATGATCTTTTCAATTCTAATACCCAATTAGCTTTAATAGTCAAGTTAACAATGGAGAACCCAAGGTATATTAGACAGTAATCTACAGAAAAACTGAATTCATTTAAGAAAGTACATGTCAGCCTATATTCAATTAAGTAAATGTGCTTTTCAGTTTAAAAAAAAAAATTGTTTTTTAATCATTATGTAGACGCTAAACTAAAACATTACTGACTGCAGTGATTCTTTTTTTTTTACATTGCAGAGTCTGAATACAGACTTTTTCCCTTTTGAAAATTCTCTACTGAAGTCTGAAAATTGCCAACAATTCTCCAAACCACTTAACTTTAAGACATGCACCATTTATGTTTTGTACCACCTGAATATCAGTGAATTTTGATCTATAAGGTTTTGATAAATGTTCTGAAAAATACTATTTAGTGAAACTCAGGGGGTTACTAATACTAAAGAAATCACTAAAAAGAATAAGAATGTTTGTAATAATGCGACCAAATCAACAAACATCTAAATTGTAAATGGTGCTTCTCCAGTTAGACCTCAAAAACATGCATTGTTGTTTTTTTTCAAAACTGATCAAAAGATAAAATGGGTATTGTTACTGCACAAAAGATGTGTTATGTCTATTATTAATACCTTCAATACATGTGAATGTCCTGTACTAATATATATAGGTCAATAACCCATTGGGTCCTGACTTAACTAGTGTATGATTACTTAGTATAATCTGACAAGAATGACTATGTTGACATATGAGCTTAATGACCTGTGGGTGATTAAAACTAAATATTAGATCATTCATGTCTAGATACATGTACTTATTTCACATATTACAACAGTTCTTTGTTCATTTTAAGTATAACAGTGTAACAACTAAATTCTTCTTGTTTCCATTTATTTAAAAAGAAAATCTGTTATAAGTTATTAATTTAATAAATGCAGGTTACTTTTCTTCAGATATATAAAATTCATATTATATAAATATGTATGTACATGTATATATAAAACCAACATAAGAGGACAGTAAAGTGTTAATTCAGAAGTATACATGATAATATAAACTATTTTCAATGGAAGTGGTATTAAAATAATGATGACCAAAGAATTGACCAACAGGATGGTTCAATTACAACTAGACAATAAATTAAGCTATTATTACCTAACAAGGCTTCAAAAAGGCTTCTTTTTAGAAGTAAATAACTAACAAGAACCATTTGGACCATAAGTAACAAAGCAAAAAATCACTTAATTTCTAACTATAAGTATAAATCAATAATTGGCATTTGTCCTACTTAAGGTTTTTATTCAATTCATGTTCACAATATAATGTATTTGACATGAATAACATAAATATGAATAAAACAAGCAAATTCATTGATGAATACTGGTTTTTACTAACCACAAAAAGTGCACAAAAGATAACTTTAATAACTTATCACATTAGTTTTTCTTTCTCTAAGTAATGATAAATGTTATGTCCAAGTATAAATCAAAGCTGTGTATTATTTAGTATCAATAACAATTTATGGCATTTTAGCAACATTCAATAATTTGACATTGAAGGTTAAGGTCATTTCAAAGTCAATATCATGAATGATTGAAGTATTGATGGTTGCCATAAAGTTATGTTAAATACTGTCAGCAGTTGCTTAGAAATACCACAGAAACCTCAATGTTACTCTGTATAAAACTGCAAAGTTTATCAAGGTTCAAAAAACTGACAAGGACATGCCAAGGTCATGTTCATCTCCTTTTGGTATTGATGGCTCTTATAATGTTTTAATCAAATCTAGTCAGAAGTTGAATTTTATTTTGTATACCTTGTACATACTCAGCACAACCCATCAGGGATCTCGAAAGTTGAATGGTCCTACCAAGATATGCAAACACAATTGCCAGAAAAGCCATCATTAGCATACTATATGTTTTAACATTGTTTGGTTCCAGTGATTTTTCCCCTAAATTTTACAGCTGAATAAAGCTGTTTCCCTATTCTTCCTTAGAACAGCAGCTGACTTCAGCTTGTAGATAGATTTAATAGACTGAAACACACAAAGCTGCCCATATATATAGCCTCTGCTATATACCAAGCATGTTAAATTGAAAAGAATTTAATTTCAGGTTTTATACTTTTTTTATTTATTGTGCTATATTTTCCATATCAGAAAGTCACAGATTATTTTGAAAATTGAAAAAAAAATCACTGGGATGAATTCAGATTTTCAGTCTTCGTAAAAGACAAACATATGGCCCAATGGCTTACAAATATTCCTCTAGCCTACATGTAAGCTTTGTGTTATGTTGTTTTATTTTCAAAGGCGTATTACTCTAGGTAAGTAGGTGAATGATTTATGCTTGTTTAAGTACAGCATAATTATGAAAGTAGGCAAAAATTATGAACAATGTCTGCTCATTTTTTTTAAACATCTTTTCAAATTGGTTTAATAGATATAGTACAGGTGTCATTCAGTATTTTCATGATCTATTTTCAGTTGGTTTACCTTGATGATTATTCCTTATCCCAACGCGATTGATGACTTCCCGCATATGAGAGCATATAATATGTTTTATCAATATGTCAATTTTGTTTTTATTCTAATTCATATTTCAAAACATCTTTGCAAACATAATAGCTGTACATGGTGCAAATACTCAGGGGACCAAAAGCCAGCCAACATATACATGTAGCTCAATTGGGGCATCTTTCTGTAGCTTGCAATGTCCTCAAAAATCTAACATATCTAATATTCTTCTGCAACCTGTGGTATCAATAAACTCAAATACACACACATTAGGGGATCAATCAATGAGTTGTCAGTAGGACAGCATGATCAACTATTCTCAGTGTTTAATGGTAAAACTGGATAATGTAGGAATTAACAATAAGGAAGGTTTAATTAAAAAAGTTCACAAAGGGCCATAATTCATTCATATTCCATACCAGAGTTATGGATCTTGGACAGTGACATATGTGATGATCTGAGAGACATGTGTTAGTTTCAAGTGAATGCCCTGTGCTGTTTTGAAAATTGATGTTGCATTCAAAACTTTAACCAGAAATTGTTTTAGCTTACAAAGGGTTATATATTCAAGTCAAAACAAATTTTTGTTACAGTTATGGGCCTTAGACAATGACCTCCAATTTTTTCTCAATCAAATGTCTCAAGTCAAAAGGAAACATCTTTCATGGTTGATGAGATATGATGTTATTACAGTTATACAAGAAGTTGTGTGTAAAAATTAAAATAAAATTTATGCAATCAGTCCATCATAAAACAGCTGACCGTGATAGAATAGACTTGCTATGGTATATTAAGCAGATTGTTGCTTCTGAAATATTCAGTACACACTGACCTTAATGGGTCTGGATCAATATAAAACTATAAAATTTTCATTGAAGTCTTTTACATGTAAGTAATAACTTGTAAATACCAGGTTAAAACTGAAACACCATCTTTACCTACATGTGAGCAATAAATATAGAAACTTCATCTCCAAAGATTAATATTAATAAAACAAAAACACAGAACATACACAGTGCCACCACTTGTCTATTCAAGGCAACAAGTAAAATAATTAAATTCAAAAGCGTTATTATTGCTGTTTCGCACTTTCCATCTTTGCATGTTTAAGATACAAAAGTTCCATATTTTTCATGTGACAAAGGGGCATAACTCTAGAAAGACTGATCACCGTAGTTAATACCTTGTCCTGCTTATGTGCTTTGTGACCCCTAACAGAACACCTTGATGATTACTCACAATCATTTCCAAGTTAATACTGTTTAAAAATAATTCTACAAAGCGTGAACCGAAAAACGATACATTGAATTATTTTATTAGCAAAAAATTGCTGTGAAATTATCACAGTGAGAGGAAAAACATATGAATCTATTTTCATACTTGACGACCAGGACTCAAGTGACCCCCTTACTCATTTACAAAGTAAACCAACCACTAACAGCATTGTTCAATTAAATATGAAAAACATCACTCACTTAATAATAAAGAATGTAGAAGGAGAATTGCATGAATTTAATTTAGCACTGGTAAGCCCTACCAGCGTCTTCCCCTCTTCCTAAAAAAACCTGTAAATACAATGTTTCCATATTGGATGATTGTGATACTCAGTATAACCAAATGAGCAATATTCGTACCCATTTCACTTCATAGCAAATCAGTGATTTTTTTTCCCAATTTTCAAAACAACCTATGGCTTTCTGACGGGGAAAATATAGCTGGATAAATCAGCAAAGGGGTAAACCTGAAATCAAATTCCAACAACTGAAAATGGAATTTACCCAGACATTTTAAGAAAAAAATTAATTTCAATTTCATTCAAACAAGCATGGTACATAGCAGATGATATATATAGGGACAGATTTCTGTCTTCTAGCTGATATTAGTCAGATTCTGTTAAGTCATGGTTCTGGTAAGGAAGAGCACTAGGCATTTTAGGGGCAAGTTTTAGTATTTTAGGGGAAAATATACCTTTTTGGGGCTAGGGGAAACAGCCTTTATGCGGCTGTTAAATACAGTGAAAAAAAATCACTGCACCTCATGTAAAGTATAAACATTATTCTCACACCCAATTTATTCTCCTTTTTTTGTCCTCTTATTTTTCTAAAATATTGTTTAAAATGTTTATAAATGCATAATTGTCAATACTCCTGTGAAATTCAGAATTTCCACCAATTTTCACACACAATCCCCCCCCCCCCCCCCCCGCCCTTAAGCTGCTTGTGCAAAACAGCTTGATTTCTTTTTGGTCTGGTGAATGGTAATTTCTTCAGGTCTCATCTAGATATACTTTATTTTACTTCATGGCATGCTGTTTAAATAAATACTAGCATGCCAGATTCCTGGCACAATCAATGATTGACCTTCACAGACAATATTGGCTTAAGCATACACATTCATATCTAAACTTTTTATTTTGTCGGGTTTTTACATTGTTCTAACATTGTAATGGTCATATGGCGATAGTCCAGCTTAACAGTTACATGTAACTCGGCGCATTCCTCTGCATTATTTCAAGCCAAATGGGCACCACAGGGAAGCAGTGGTCTAGTACTAGACAAGTTAAGGTGTCTAACTTTCAACCCAGGGATCATAGGTTCAAGCCAGTATCAGGTCACAACCATGTTTCTTCATATAACACCAGAAAATGGACTCGAAAATGATAAAAATAAGTTGCAATAACATGTTTTTGCAATCAAACTTTTAAAAAATAAATATGTTTAAACCAAACTGGCACCTCAATAAAACCACCAATGTTCTGTTACTACATGGATATCTTCCCAAGTTTCCCACGTGAAACAGTCCAAAGTCCTTGGTGGTTCATAGTGCTGAGGGGCAAGTTGTTTTAATGATCTCAACAACTCGACAATGTATGGCTCTGGTATGTAAACTGGAATCTTAATATTAAACCAGTGATTTTTTTCACTTAATTGGGAAGAGGCCTTAGCCTCTTGATTTTGGGAAAAAATGTCGCTAAAATTGCTAATTTGGGACGAAAAAAGCGGGTTTCAGTTAAGATTTTTGGGAAAACTGCATGATTTTAAAGAAAATTTCAATTGGGAAGAGGCCTTTTATCGGAGTCTGTTATATAAGCAGGAAAATCACTGTAAACTGACTGTCATTATCATTTATAAATAGAAATTGCATCAGGTATGGAATATATACATATAATGGATTATTGAAATCGAACAGGAATCTCATCACTAGTGAGTAGTGAGAATCAAACTAGGGCCTGATCCAGTCTACTTTTCTTCAGATGTTTTTAAAAAATTTGTATTGTCTGTGACATAGATTCATCCTTGACCTAATGAAATCAATTGAATATTTATCAGCATCGAAGTAAAATTTAATGTATCTTCCAAATTTCTTGAGCATAGAAAGCTTGGATTATTGGAAAATATGTAACACACTAGTAGAACTGCTTATAAATGCTTTGGATCACAAATCATGGCCAACCTTCGAATAAAATGTTTGACAGGACTTTGTTTTACTTTATTTAAAAACACTGTAATTGTGTTTATTTTATTTTTTTCAAACGAAGCAAAATGTACAAACCTTGCGATTTTGAAAAGGATGGACTTGTCTGTCCACCATTTTGACGTTTCCATCCCCTCCAATTGTTATTTAAACTTTCAGTTTCACTTAGCCAAGAGCACATGGACTCTTCCTCAAAACGCTCACTATCATCGAAGGAGAACCTATCAACATCATTGTCCCAATCAAACATGAAATCCATAATTCAAGAAACCGTAAAATATTCAAGAACAAAAATCGACTAAAAATCAGTCAAAAATCGAAGCAGCAGACGTCCAAATTTTGTTCTGAAATCTTCAAAAATCATGCTCATTTTTCTCTTTTGTTCCAGTAAACATGTTGTTGAACTACTAATCTTTGATATTCAATTTATTAAGGAGTGGAAATTTGCTATATAAAGGATATTTTGTGGTTAAATCAGTCTCTTTGTTGAAAATTCATGTTGATCGTCACAACAATAACAAACCTACTCGCAAATTTCCGTGGAAATCCGGTAATTTCCGTACACACTTCCTGCAGGTGCTCTACAGTTTCGCGGAAGGATAATTTTTCCACGGAAGAATTGTTTTCATTATATATTCGGGTAGATATACATATACAAAAATAAGAAAACGTGCTTTGCCTAAAGCTAGATTATGGCAACTTTATGTTCAAAGTATATAAAGTACATAAAAAGGACCCACAAAGCCAGCCTTGTAACAAGTACAGTACTACTTAGAACAGTTTATAAGACATGTGGGACAAAAACAGTACCCAGATTATGAAAGTAGCAAAAGTTAGTTAACATAAAAGGTAAATGAATGAATGAATGAACGAACGAACGAACGAACGAATGAATGAACGAACGAACGAATGAATGAACGAACGAACGAACGAACGTGAATGAATGAATGAAGAACGAACGAACGTGAATGAATGAATCAATCAATCAATCAACGAACGAATGAATGAATCATATATGAGCAAAGTCTAAATGTGTCTGGTAGCGAGTTCTACAACAGTTTGGTGATTTTCCCTTCACATATCAATAGTCACCAATATCTGTGAGCACTATACCTAAAGTAGTTTCGCGGGCATCACAATATAATCAAATCTGAGAGATAATAATATTGTAACTAACCAATCTGGCGTATACATTTTATATATTTTGGTGTTCACCTGTCAGTTTGTGTATCTATCATTTATAATTGGTAGTACACATGTAAGGATCTATTGTTGATATTGTATTAACATTATTTTCCTTTAAATATACTAATAATAATTATAGTAAAATAATAAAATGAGTAACTCAATGAAACACCAGACTATTTCTGTACTGTAGACCTTCATAGAAACAGCATCAAATCAACCAAAATTATACAGTGTTGTTAGCTACGTAATTTACATTCGAGGATATAACACTGTACCAGAGACATAGAGTTATCTATGTCTCTGACTGTACTATACACCCCCCCCCCCCCCCACCCCCACCCAAAAAAAAAAAAAACATTACAAAGCGTGGAAATATAAAGTTTTATTCATTTAAGCGTTCTCTGGATTATTTCTTAGTTATAACAATAAACATTAAACCTACTGTACCTACAATATTTTGATAATTATATAAATATAATTCATCTTCATTTTTATTCCGATTATCAAATTCTTTATCCACTTTATCCAAAAAAAATGCTTAGTTGACTATCTAGTAAAAGAATTACAAGAAATCACAAAGTGAAGCTCTTCTTAAACTTTATTTTATATGCACACATTGCATTGTTGATCTATATCCCTATTTTACATTCAAAATACATGTATCCTTTTTTCTCGTCTTATCAGGGAATTAAATTAATAGTAAATTCCAACTTTAATTTTAATTATACTAAACTAAGTTTAATTGAATCATAAAACACAAATATTTCCTATCATAATATTTTTAAACACTTTATTAAGAGTGGGACTAATGATTTGAATTTATGTTCATAACATATATGTAGCGAGCAACTTTCAGCAACTAATCAAAGTCTCAGATAATACGAGAAAGTATAAGTGCTTGAGGGCCAGTATTTACAAATAGAATTTTTTTCGTTATTCTTTCAGACATGATGTTTCATTTATTCAAAATGTCTAAAAGGGGCATTTTCTGTGTATAGGGCAAAAATCACTATCTAGGAATGATATGTACAGTAAAGCTCATTTATGCCCATTTAGGCCTTAGTCCCACGATAATACGAAAAAAAAAAAAAAACAAAACAAAAAAAAACAAAAAAAAACACACACACACATTATTATATGTTTTGACATGTCGTTCAATTTAAAGAGATGCAAACATTTTTATTGCATAAATTTTATTATAAAAACCTTGCACTCTTGAATAGCAACGTTATGAAAATTGTGAAAAGTAATTAGGCCTAAGGGCTTAAAGAAATTAAATAAGGCGCCACGATTTTCCGAACAATTTTTATAGCGTTTTATTGTTGCTTTTTTCCCCAAGAATAAGAGCGAATGTTTTTATGTTATTATTTTTCTTTTCATTTTTTTGAAATGCATAAATCGATTCTTCTAATCATTTATTTTATCATCGTTTATACTTTTGGCAAATTATACGGAATTGGTTCTTTCCGTTATGATACGTCGATTTCGTTAATTGAAAAGAAATCAACTTCCTTTTCATAAAAACATCCGAAATATAGAAGGTTTACAGAATTGCTTTATAAAATCCAAATAATCTGATAAACTTAAGTAATGAATAAATATTTTAAGCATTCATAATGAAAATTTCAAATGTCATACAATAGATTGTGTTGTTATTTTTAATATATTAATTTGTCAATTTGATTATCGTAAGTAACAATGTCATGACTGTCGAGTGCATCTTGGTTTTGTACTCGAGGGGCTTATTTGAAGTATCCGTCAAGACATACTTTTACTATTTATAGTCTTAGTTGGTTCTTATGTTAGACAGAATTTTTGTTTTCATACTGAAACACTACAAATTTCAAAGTTGCTCATAACTGGACAGAAAATAAAATAAATTTACTAGATTCTAGTTCACTCCCCAGTTGCAAGAATATCTACCAGCAAGCAAGCTTTTGGATTGTGCATTGGTACCTGCATGTGATTTAAACATTGGGAAGATGTCTAAATAAAATCTATAACTGTCATGCTCATTATCCTAAAGTTTATCTTGTGTGATATGAAACCGTGAAAGTTTCTTGGCTATTATGTCTTAACCAGTAGATTGCTGGGCCTATTAATATGACATCGCTTTGAGATATTTTTTACTTCTTGGTAAAGCAACATTGTATCGAAAATGCTCATAAACAAAGAGTAATAAAAGAAAACGCACAAGTCCGCGCAGAAATACATTTATTTTGAGCTGTTCATGAAAAAATGTAAAAAAAGAAATACCTTGTAACAAAAATAGTGTGTCACATCTGAAAAATCATGTTTAAATCCTTTTGTATAATTAAAATCCTTATACAGCCGACAAACAAATGGCTGTCACACAGTATTTGATTGGCTAATGCCGGTATTCCATTCATATGGGAGCGCGACATGAACATTTAGTGTGAGGCGTGAGTTTTCACGCTCACACTATTCCATTCATCAGGTTAGCGTGAAAATAATTGTTTTGTCCAATTTGTTGGAAAGAAAATATGTCGCAAGATGAGTGGTAGTAATTTCTTACTCTCATGTTATTATAACAGAATTGTCATAAGCATGCTTGCAAAAACGATTCAGAGTCAACTCGTCCCCTGGTCAACTCGTCCTCTGGTCAACTCGTCACCTTTTTGGTCAACTCGTCCCTTGGACAACTCGTCCCCTAGTCAACTCGTCCCCAACTCGTCCCCTATATTTCATTATTATTTGTTATTCATATATTCCATAAATTATTATAGACTGTTAAAATATATTATATAATGACTGAATTATGACATATTTTGACGCTTTTTGTATGCGAATATTTGGAGTTTGAGTTTTTTTTTATCTAATAATAAGTATATATATGCATAAATCTGATTAAATTATATACAGAAAAAAACACGAAGACGATCAATAGCAACAACATTTACTGTATAAAAACATGTTTCAAATGCAATGATGAAATATCATATAGTATGTCTTTTTTGTCAATATTATATCATATATATTCACTTTCACTTTCATTGTTTTTTGCATGCACATATTTCATTGTCTTTTTTTTGACATTTTACGACTCTTTGGGTTTATATAAGTTCCCGAATTCTCTTAGAAGTCCCGTTGATGACAACTCCCCATTCCTGTACCTGTCCCACAGCTGGTGCGTCTGTCCCTGGAGAAAGGTGTATTTTTTCCGTTGGTAGCGGCATTGGTCAACTATAATAGATATATTTATCTCTTTAATGCGAGGACATGGAGGATGTATGAATCCATGAAGGCATTTCTCAAATTCGCTACAAATTTGTCTAAGACATATACAGTCTAAAAATCAAAGAGTTGGACCTAATTTTAGTTTTAATTAACATTAAAAATCCGATTGATTAAACATTAATTGAATTTTTGCAAATTTTAAAATTTTACGTAAAAAGACGTTATTTTATTAATATTTCGATATCAATCAAATTCATTATTAATTCTACATAAAAAGAACTATTTAAAGACATTGGTTTACAACATAATAGTGACAAATAGATCGAAAGTAGGGGACGAGTTGACCATATTAGGGACGATTTGACTCTTTGAGGACGAGTTGACCAAAAGTAGGGGACGAGTTGACCAAAAAGGTGACGAGTTGACCAGAGGACGAGTTGACCAGGGGACGAGTTGACCGGATTGCGCAAAAACCACACACTTAAATTAACATTGTTTTGCAACTGAAATTAATTTATGTTAGGTGTACCTCTCAAGCCAGGAATGTTGAGTCAGCAATTGTCTGTGTCCCTGTACTCCTTTAGGGACTGGGCGTACAGAATAGGGCATTTTCTAATTGCTTCTATAAGTTTTTCTGTTGCATCTGGCATGGACAGAGGGCCTTTCATCATGGTGGCTTTCTGTCTGTGAATGATGTGCGTGAATGTGAAAAATCACTACATGTAGCGATCGGTTTAACGCTCGCGTTACACGATCACATGTCATAAGTTCACGTTTTACGCTCGCGTCAATAAGGAATACATAGTGATACAATAGAAAATAGTTTGTATGATTTTTTACGTTCGGGCATCACATTCACGCTTTATGTTCACGTATAGATGGAATACCGGCCTAATAGAATGCAAGTGTTTATGTGGGTACGAAATATTTTTGAATGAAGTATTTGCTCATGATGCAATGTCAGCGTGTACAAAAAGGTTTCTTCATTATAAAATATGGAATCAATCAATGAGTGAGCATGACATTGAAAAAAAAATTTGTAAAATTTTGATTAAAGCTTTGAAAGGTTAAACATGTTCTGAAGTTTTCATTTTTCTATTCCATTTATGAGCAATATCTATTAGAGACGTGGGACTTGGCCATCTAAACATAAACTATAACAAGCACATAACATCAATTATTCTGGACTAAGAGATTCCTGATATAGAGTGGAAACTAATATGAGCATGTGTTATAAACTGTAATTGTGGTTTTGTACATGCTTGTTTTTGTAATCGCAAAGAAAACATTAAATTGAAATATAAAACTAAAAGAAAGTATGATTTCTTGTAATAAGGTCTCAATGATCTCAGTAAATTAGATGTCGGGTTTCTAGCCAAAAAACAGTGGTCAGGCATAGGATTGCCCCACCCCTGACAAGGGATTTTCCCCACTCATAACTCAAAGTAAATTTCTTAAGCTCTGCACATGAGTAGTACTGGCCTTGCAAGAAATTAAACCATAATGAGTACATAATAATGATTGATTTGTTAAATTGAATGTTGATGTACAAATTTTTCTTTCAGGATGGCACCCAGAAAGGGAAAGACCCAAAAACAGGAAGAGCAGGTCACATTAGGACCCCAAGTCAAAGATGGGGAAAATGTGTTTGGTGTGGCCCACATTTTTGCTAGTTTCAATGATACATTTGTCCATGTAACAGATTTATCTGGAAAGTAAGTTTATAATGCTTAAATAAAGGAAAATTATATTGTTATAACATAAGATGGTTAGTCATTTCCAGCCAGAATTTTCTACAATGTTGACATCTGGCTAAAAACATTAATCATCACTAAATATAGCATCTTGCTTAGACTTATGATTAGGAAGAATATTAGAAATATTGCATGTACAAATATGTTAACAATTATAATGATAATAATAATGCATAGGAAAGGAATTAATTATTATACTCCTACCACATAATGTGGAGGGGGCTAAGCTATTATACTACCATCACTGCTGTGTCATGCCATCTGGTCCGTATGTCAAAAACTTTGGTCAAATCTTCATCTTAAAGCAATGAGCAAAACAAATGCCACCACTGCGCCGGGGTCATAGTTGCCCTTAAAGGTCAAAGGTGAATGTTTATGAAGATAATTGTATAAAGCTTATAATACACAGCTTTTAAGATTAATATCCTGATTCCATTACCACTTGCCTAAAATAGAATTAAATTTGTTTCCCCTTCCCTACCTACCAAACAAATTTGCCCCTACCCAAGATTTTTTCAGGCTCTTGAAAGTATTTTTTTTTCTTTCAGAGTACATGGTAATGCATGTACATTACTATTGCACTAAATAAATTAATTTAAATAGTTCATTATACATATATGCAGAGTATTTATTATTATGCACATATAAAAAAATTTTCCTACCTACCTCATTTTAATGGGTCGTGAAGGGGAAACAAACATATTTTTGGCCCTATCAGAATTTATAATGCATGGCCTCATAAGTATTTCAATATAGAGCTGGCATGTTTTGAAGTGCCAATAATGAAGTGCATGTCTGATGATGGGGAACAACAATTGTGATATATTTTTTTAGACAATACATTACAAAATATGCTTAAAAAGTTTCTTAAGGAAACTGTCAAAAACTGTTTCTTTAAAGAAACTGTCAAAGCGGGCCCTGGATTTTTACAATTTTACCAGATATTCTTTATTCACAGATTTCATTAGGATCCATTTTCAAAATGTTATGTAAAGAGGAATCAAGTTTGTTAAAATGTAGTATGACTTGTATGTAAACTTTGGTTAAAATACTTAATATTCTTTTTCTTAAGGGAAACAATTGCACGTGTAACTGGTGGTATGAAAGTGAAGGCCGACAGAGATGAGGCTTCACCATATGCTGCTATGTTGGCAGCTCAAGATGTAGCTGAAAAATGCAAAAATCTTGGAATTACAGCTCTTCACATTAAATTGAGGGCTACAGGTGGAAACAGGTAGGACAAGACAAAAAATTCTTTCTCTGAACGATTAAGATTTTTTTTAGCATAATGTAATATTTTTCTTTTTAGCTCACCTGAACCAAAGGTTCAGGGTGATCATCGTGTGTCAACAAAACTGATGGGCAGATTTACTTAAAATTTGGTCTGTAGCATCCTTGTAACAGTCATACTAAAATTTGCTCATGCCATTTCAATAGGCCCCTTTTAGGGTTCAACATGGCTAAAAAAAGAAAAACCTGTAAACATCTTCTACTACTAAATAAAATGATGGATGATCACCAAACTTTGTCTGTAGCATTCTTAGGTAGTTTTGTATCAAATTTGCTCATTTTAATTTGATTGGCTCCTTTAAGGGGTCTCTAGAGCTAAAAATAGAAAAATCTTTAGACATCTTCTACAGAACTAATTGATGGATAATCACCAAACTTTGAAATTTTGTCTAGCATTCTTGGGTAGTCTTTTATCTTAGACTGAAAAGCAGTTGTTTCTGGTGAGTGACTCAGGGCCATCATGGCTCTCTTGTTTGTTACTGTTATTTTATTACTAGTCCAACATTGAACTACAGTGTTTGTTTTTTTCACCAAAATATTTGGCGAAATTCTGCCTCATTCCCCCCTCAAAATAGTTTTTTTTTTTCCTCCAAGCAGAAATTTCCCCCCATACGGCAGCCCGAATTTGCCTGCAATGAATATCATTTTTTTGCAACTTACTGCCGAAAAATGTTTTATTTGAATTTTTATGCCTGTAAGACTTACTGTTAGGCAAGGTTGTTTACAAATCTATCTCAGGGAGGCAAGGGGAGCTACTCCGGACGTCCAAACAAGTTTAACATGTGACACATCAATATTTTAGATCCTATATTAAGAAAACGCGACGTATTTTTTAAACTTGTGTTGCAAGAGTTGCTCCCCTATTCTACCGGGAAGAAAACAATATAAAATAAATAAATAAGTAAAATCCCCCCTCCTATTGCATTTTTCCCCCTCCAAAGGGCAAGGATCCCCTTCCCCCAAAAGTGAAAAAAAAACCACTGAACTAAACCATCATTATTGTTCTTTATATGATTTTGATATATGATTACTTTGATGCTGAATTAAAATTTTGTTAGTTCAAGTGCTATTATAGAGAGCACTACATGTGAAGGTCAACTACCTCTGCTGTTTGTTAATTCCTTTATCTTTGCTGTGCATTTGGGTACGAAGTAACAAAATAAAGTAGCCTATCCTTTTTCAATACATTAAATGTAAAGCTTTTTGTTATGAAATATAAAATGGATTTTTATACCCCCAAAAACGAAGTTTGGGGGGGTATATAGGAGTCACCCGGTGGTCGGTTGGTCGGTCGGTCGGGCGGTCGGTCGGTCGGTCCAGACGTCCGTTGCATTTTCCTTGTCCGGACCATAATTTGAAGACTAATGGTTGGAATTCAATATAACTACATACAATGGTCAAGCACATTGAGAGGAAGTGCAGTGCACAAGAACCATAACTCTATCTTGACTAATTACAGAGTTATTGCCCTTTGTTACTTTTCCTTGTCCGGGGCATAACTTGAAAACTACTGGTTGGAATTCAAAACAACTTCATACAATTGTCAAACACAATAAGGGGAAGTGCAGTGCACAAGAACCATAACTCTATCTAAAGTAATTACAGAGTTATTGCCCTTTGTTACTTTTACGTTGCTTTCTTTTGTCCTGACCATAACTTGAAGACTAATGGTTGGAATTCAATATAACTACATACAATGGTCAAGCACAATGAGAGGAAGTGCAGTGCACAAGAGCCATAACTCTATCTTGACTAATTACAGAGTTACTGCCCTTTGTTACTTTTCCTTGTCCGGGGCATAACTTGAACACTACTGGTTGGAATTCAAAACAACTTCATACAATTGTCAAACACAATAAGGGGAAGTGCAGTGCACAAGAACCATAACTCTATCTAAAGTAATCAAAGAGTTATTGCCCTTTGTTACTTTTCCATTGCTTTCTTTTGTCCGGACCATTACTTGAAGACTAATGGTTGGAATTAAATATAACTACATACAATGGTCAAGCAGATTGAGAGGAAGTGCAGTGCACAAGAACCATAACTCTATCTTGACTAATTACAGAGTTATTGCCCTTTGTTACTTTTCCTTGTCCGAGGCATAACTTGAAAATTACTGGTTGGAATTCAAAACAACTTCATACAATTGTCAAACACAGAAAGGGGAAGTGCAGTGCATAAGAACCATAACTCTATCTAAAGTAATTACAGAGTTATTGCCCTTTGTTACTTTTCCATTGCTTTCTTTTGTCCGGAGTATAACTTGAAGACTAATTGTTGGAATTCATTATAAATTCATACAATGGTCAAGCACATTGAGAGGAAGTGCAGTGCACAAGAACCATAACTCCATCTTGACTAATTACAGAGTTACTGCCCTTTGTTACTTTTCCATTGCTTTTTTTTGTCCGGAGCATAACTTAAAGACTAATGGTTGGAATTCAATATAACTTCATACAATGGTCAAGCACATTGAGAGGAAGTGCAGTGCAACAAGAATCATAACTCCATCTTGACAAATTACAGAGTTATTGCCCTTTGTTACTTTTCCTTGTCCAGAGCATAACTTAAAAACTACTGTTTGGAATTTAATACAACTTCATACAGTTGTCAAGGACATTAAAAGGAAGTGCAGTGCATAAAGAGCCATAACTCCATTTTGACAAAATACAGAGTTACTGCCCTTTGATACTTTTCCTTGTCTGGAGCATAACTTAAAACGTACTGGTTGAAATTCAAAACAACTTCATACAATGGTCAAGCACAAAAAGAGGAAGTGCAGTGCACAAGAACTATAACTCCATCTTCAGTATTTATAGAGTTATTGCCCTTTGTTCCTTTTCTTTGTCTTTCTGGACTTATTACAGAGTAATTCAATAAAACTTCATCAATGGCCAACCACATTGAAAGGAAATGCAATATACAAGAACCACAACTATCTTTAATTGCCCACAACCATAACTCTATATTTTAATTCTTTTACAAGATATTCTGTTACTAGTAACATCCTCATTTCCGAAGCAGTCTTGTGGGGGTATTAATCACATTTAGTGATAGTTCTAGTTTGTATCTTTTTTTTTTTACAGGACAAAGACCCCAGGACCAGGTGCACAGTCTGCTTTGAGGGCTTTAGCCAGATCTGGGATGAAGATTGGCAGAATTGGTAAGCAATAGAACAACTTGTGAAACGCCTATTGGTGTATTTATTTTGTACTGAAATTAAGCCATATCTGACAGGTCACAGTAAGGGATTGAACTTGTTATATTTGTCATACAGTCCTTAGTGCAGTTGGAGTACAGTCAATATTTGCATGCATTATTGGTTTTCAAAATACATACGTACATACATCCACAATAAGTAGACAATGTGTTGCATGCTAGATCCAGCTTACTATCTTGTGTTAAGGTCACTGAAATGGATTAAACTTGGCTTTTGTGCAGCTGTAGTGTGTATTATATGGTCCGTAACTTCTGCATTTGTTATTGGATTTAGTACAATTGGCAGGGTCTTGCCCATCTTATTTAGGATAGGCCTCTGACATAAATTGGGACAAGTAATTCAACATTTTTAGAAAGTTATACATGGCTTCAAAGTATAATAATATATAATATAACCTGTCACTTATTTTAAGAAACAAGTCAAACAGTTCTATTTTTCACTAAGTTGAACAGTTGGATTTGTTAACTGCTTTTAGAATTTGGTCTTGAAATGGGGAGGGGGGGGGAGGCTATTTTGGATTGAAACCCAGAAAAGGATGAAAATGCCCTGTATGGACACCATTAGTAATTTGTAAGATTATTTGTGCAAGACCCATATCTGCAACTTCAAAGTCTAGGCTGTACTGTAGATGTAAAATGTCAATTATTGATTTTGAAATATTGGACATATATGTCTTCATGTGTTCTGTGCAAGACCTATGTCCACTTCTAATCTTAATTCCGGGGTATGATGTTTAGCACCTGGTCGTCCATCGGTCCATCTGTTAGCAGTTTTTGTGTCATCTTTTGAACCTGTTGAAGGAAATTTGAAGCTTCATGGCAGAAATGTTAAACGTAATGAGACAATGTGCAGAGCAAAGTTTGGCCTTCCTTAGGTCAAGGTCACACTTATGTCATTTTTGTATCAGTTTCAAAATTTTGTGTCTGCTCCGTTAGAATGAAATTAAAACTTTTTGTCAGAAATATATGTTACAGTGAGGCTAATCTTGTTGTTTTGTAAATGAAAATCTGCTCTGCTGAGGGTTAATGCCTCATGTCAGTTTTTCCTGCCACACATTGGACCAATTACAATTCAGATTAAGACAATGTATCATATTGATGTAAATTAAACATTAATGTTTTCATTTTTCAGAGGATGTTACTCCAATCCCCTCAGACAGCACCAGAAGGAAGGGAGGTCGTCGTGGTCGCAGATTGTAAATTTGTATTTGTTCTGTAGCTACATAAACTGCAAAGAAAAAAATGTAAAAAACATAGAGTTGTTGGTGGTATATTTACAGATCTTTGGATAAAATTAATTTTGATTCCATATGGATTGGTGTTGATTCAACTGTTGATGCATATAGGATTTTAATTAGCTTCTCTGTTTTGAAGAAAAAGTCGAGCTATTGCGATGGCTGAGTCGTACTGGTTGTTATTGTGCAATAACTTCCATATAGCCCTTTTAAGCTTCACTCAAATAATTTTATAGATATTTATACACCTGGAAATAAGTTCAGCACATCAGGCATTTTGCCTCTATTTTCACATGACCACAACTGAAATTTTAAATTTTATTTGGGCAATGGTATGAACCATCTGTAGTCAACCTGCCACAACTAGAACAAGCTCTGCACCGAGAATGGCAAAATCCCCTCAAAATTGCATTAGACGCCTTACTGGTAGTATGAGGAGGATTGAGACTATCATCCTTACACATGTTTGTAAAAATTGGCTACATAATGTAATTTTAGGTTACGTTATCGTCAACATTTACCAAAAATATCCACCAGTAGTAAATGTTTCGAAACGCTCCAACACCATACTTTAAAAACATTTTTGTTATAAAAAAAAACACATTTGCAATTAAGCCCTCATCTGTTGACAGTGCTTTCAATCACAACCAGTTTTTAATTTCTGGGGTGTGCTTTACTTATTTCCAGGTGTATATATGAAACTTAAAATGCTTATGACCAGAAGCAATTTTGTAATATGAGGGGAATTATTCTGAATGCTATATTCTTGGGAGTTATGTCTCTTTTTACCTTGACTAATTATCATAATTGCTTCTTAAGTTAAATGATTTCAACTGAGTTTTATCAACATGAAACTTGATACACTTGCAAAACAAGGGGCATAATCCTGAAAACAATGTAATAAAGAGATGGATAGAAATGGTATTAAAGAAGAACAATATATTTGTATTTATAGTTGTGCCCCTTTTTACCGTGACTTGCTGTCATAATTGCTTATTAAGTTGACCTTGCATGATTTCATGTTTGTTATCTCAACATGAAACTTGGAACTCTTGATCTTGAAAAGGCGTAATTGTAAAACAAGGGGCATTATCCTGAAAGCATGATATAAAACATATTTGTCAAAATTGTCTATTTAGTAAAATGATTTCAGAAGTTTAAAAGATCAAGATAAAAGTTGGAATATGTGTCTTGGCACTGTTTAAAGGCAAGGAACATTAAATTCAGAAAGCTATATCTTTCTGTCCCTTTTTTTTTTACATTGAATTTTTTCATAATTACTTTTTCAAAGGCTATCTACTCACAATTGTAAGACAAGGGACATAATCAGATTAATCCTGAAAGATATACTTGTAGGAGCTATGACCCTTAAAACATGAACTAGTTAAAGAAAATAGGTTATTGATAGTGGTTGCCATTTGCAGATGAGCATTGGCACCACAATTGTGCAGTGCTCTTGATAAATAGAAATTCTTTTGTGTGATAACACTGTTGAAACACCTACTCATTAAAAGCCAAGTAAGTAAAATTGCAGAATACATGCTTGCATATTTGATAGAAATATGTTTAACTTGTATGAGGAAGCAATCCAGGTTGCTAGCAGGTCAGTGATTCTACTCTGGTGTTGCTTGTGCTGAAATATGCACAGAGGGGCACCTTGAAGTCTTGCTCTGTCAGTAAAGTTGTTTAGTCAAACATTTAGACCTTGATAGTGTTGGCCTGTTTGGTATGACTTAGAATCCAACCAAACAAGAGCTGTCCGTAAGACAGCGCGCTCGACTTTTTTATTGCTTGCCAATAAAAAAAGTTTTTGCAGTAAAAGGCAATACAAGAATCTCTGTATTTTTAAAGTGAACTAGTTGTTTGATACCCTTGAATATTACAGCAATGTTTATATGACATAATTTATGGTAAAGTGAACAAGTGGATAGGAATGAAATTTTTTTAGATTTTTTAAGTTTTTTAGTGCTTGCCTATAATACAAAACATTGACAGTTAAGGGCCATAATTCAAATAAAATCTTTGACAGAATTACCTTCTCCTGGACATGTTTGGGAATCATGATTGTAAACAAGTATTCCAACTTTCAAATTAATATCTCAAACAGTTCAGTCAAAAAAGTGGACTGGTACTAAAAACTTAAACCAAGATTCTAAGTCGATAAAAGGCCTTAATTTTTAAAACAAATCCTTGACAGAGTTACCTTCTCTTGCGTACAGATGGGGGTAATGATGTGAAAAATAGCATTAAAAGTTTCAAAGCAATATCTCAAAGGGTTAAGGCAATAAGTGGATTTTACCCATATTCAATGTATTTTCTAAGTCAAAAAGGGGCATAATTCTGTCAAAAAACCTTGACAGAGTTATGTCCTCTTGTCTGTTGATGAAGGTCGTGATGGTAAACAAGTATGGTCAGTTTCAAAGCAATACCTCCAATGGTTTTGAAATAAAGTGAGGTGGTACAAAAAACTTAACCAAGCTCAATACACTTTCTAAGTCAAAAAAGGGCCATAATTCTGTCAAAAACCTTGACAGAGTTATGTACTCTTGTCTGTAGATGGAGGTTATGATGGTGAACAAGTATGGTAAGTTTCAAAGCCATACTTGTAATACTTCTGAAATAAAGTGGGGTGGTACGAAAAACTTAACCAAGGTGTGACGCCGACGCCGGGGCAAGTAGGATAGCTCCCCTTTTCATAGAAAAGTCGAGCTAAAAAGTAAAGCTCTAATTTTAAAAAAGCTCTTGACATTTAAAATTTTAAAGTTAAATATACATGTATAATGAGAAGATTATAACTGATATGAAAAAGGATATTAGGTTCAAGCTGGTGGTAAGCTTCAAGTACTAGAAACATTTTGGAGGGCTAAAGCTCCAAAAAAGGAAGGTGCCATTTAAACCTGACCAATTCTGAATACCAGTATGACTTGATTACTTACTTAATGTGAAAACAGTGCTATTTTACATGTTACAAACTTTGTCCCAGCTTAGAAAAGGAATGTTTTAATATGACAAAATTGAAAATGTGACTTAAAACTTGTGTGTTTCCTGCTTATACAAAATGGCCAATTCCTTTAACTTGAAAGGAATTTCTGAAAAAGACCTGATTCTAGTAGGCACATGTTATTTTGTCAATATAACAGAATAAAATATTGGCCATTTTCATTTTTCTTTAATAGAATGTCATTTCCTCAGCTGTGAAAAGTGATGTTCCATTATCATTTCTTAAATGATTCTGTCGATTGATTTATGCACGTTTCACATTTTCATCATATGAAATTGGATGGAAAGATGGTAAAATATCAGACAGGCTTTAATATAATTGTTAAAGTGCAAAGAAAAGTACTTTGCATTATGTAGTGGTTTATGTACTTAATTGGAAGAAATTACATGCATCTTTAAAAAAAGATCTTAATGAAAAAACTATACTTTGTCCATTACAATCTGTAAACTATTGATAATTGTTGAGCATTTTAATGAAAAACAAAAGGTAACTTTTCATAATTGGTGTTTGAAATAATATCCAAGGCAAGGGTTTCAAGGTATTTAGCTGCTTTTTCTGACGTTAGCAGTAACTGTTGTCCTATGATGTTAGGTATTTAAAATGAAATACCTGCACCTTAATTTGCTGACCAAGGTATTTGAATGCATTTGGTGTTGATGTATATAGGATTTCAATTAGCTTGTGAAGTTGTCTGTTTTGAAGAAAAATTCGAGCTATTTATTGTGATGGCCGAGTTGTACTATTGTCATAGTGGCTGTCGTTGTGCAGTTTCTTTCATATAGCCCTTTTAGGCCACAGGCGCTAGTCACATAATCAAATATTTTACATAATCGGTCCATATATGTATATAAAGACACAGGCGCTAGTCACATAATCAAATATTTTACATAATCGGTCCATATATGTATATAAAGATATATATCTTTATATACATATACCAGTATGGACCGATTATGTAAAATATTTGATTATGTGACTAGCGCCTGTGTTTTAGGCTTAACTCTAACAATTTTTAAGGTATCTATATGAAACTTAAAATGCTTACTTATTATGACAACAGGCAAATGTAATATGAGGGGCTTATTCTGAAAGCTATATTCTGGAGTTATGTCTCTTTTTACTTTGTATTTCCCTCTGTTAAAAAGGATGAAAGTTCAAGGGCTTAAGAGACATTGACCTTTAACTACTTTAAATACGAATATACAGGATATTGCACTCTTCAATTGAGACAAAGAAACATGTTTACAATTTTGGTTTAATATTTATCACTCATTATTGTGATGTATTCCACATTACTTCCGTATCAGTTAATAAGTTGTCATGATTTTGCACAAAATATGTTGTAACAATTCATTTCTGACACCAAAACTTTTTGATAAACAAGAGCATGGCATCAAGAGAAGCACATAATTATGGTGTCAAAGCTCGTCTGATAAAATAACCATTTTTGACAAAGAATTGAAGTAAATTAGGCGCATTATTCTAGAATATAATAAGGGGCAATACTTTAAAATATAGCTTCCAGAATTATGCTCCTTGTTGAGATAAGCAAGTATTCCATGTTAATGTTTATAACTTAAAATTTATGAATAATGGGTTACACTAAAGATTTTGCAACAAAGGTGATGATCAAACAGACAAGCTACAATTAAATTTTGCTCATAAATTATGACCATTTTTTTTTAAATATTCAAAAGAAGTGGACTTTGTTGCTATAGAATTTGTTCACTGTACAGGAGTCCGCCTAACTAAATGAAGGCATGTCTTTTTAAAGTGTTCATAGTCCGGATATATGACAATTTTCTTGTTTAAAGTACTTATTTACATTTGGTTTTGAAGTTACCTATAATTAAGTGCTTCACTGATGCAAAAGAAAGGTGCTGGTGAAGATACTTATTAGAACGAGAGTTTTCAATAACAACAAAATAATTCCTATTTGTTTCAACAGCATATAAAAGCCAATTTATATACCCACTTGTACAAAACTGGGCTTGATAATGCAGGCATGTTTTCCTATATTACCATAACTCTAGCCTTCAAGTTAAGGAGTATACCTATTACCTGATTATCTGGGGCGTCCGTGGCCGAGTGGTTAAGGTCGTTTACTTCAAACCACTTGCCCCTCACCGCTGTGGGTTCGAATCCCGACAGGGACTTTGGATTCTTTCATTTGAGGAAGCTATCCAGCTAGCTTACGGAACGTCGGTGGTTCTACTCAGGTGCCCGTTCGTGCCTGAAATAATGCATGGAAGGGCACCTGAGGTCTTCCTCCACCAGTAAAGCTGGAACGTCGCGATATGACCTATACTGTGTCGATGTGACGTAAAACCCAAACAAGTGCTGTCGGTAGGACAGCAACGCTCAACTATTCTTAGTGCTTGATAGTAAAAAAAGCCTTGATTAAAAGGTAAAATTTTCTAAGTAAAGAAAAAGGCAAAATTTTTCTTTAAATCCATATTACAGTTATAGGCCTTGGAGAGAGTCCTATTATGCTCTCAAAGAAGAGTATAAAATTTCAACATGTTTCAAAGCCTTATGTCAATGAATTTTGAAAATATTTGAGGTATTCCAAAAACTTTAACGAAAATTCTAAGTCGAAAAAGGGGCATTATTCTGTCAAAATGCTTGATAGAGTTACCTCCTCCTGTGTACAGGTTGGGGTCATGATGGTGAACAAGTGTGCAAAGTTTCAAAGGCATATGTCAATGGACTTTGAAAATATTTGAGGTATTACAAAAACTTTAACGTAAATTCTAAGTCGAAAAAGGGGCATAATTCTGTCAAAATGCTTGATAGAGTTACCTCCTCCTGTCTACAGGTTGGGGTCATGATGGTGAACAAGTGTGCAAAGTTTCAAAGCCATATGTCAATGGACTTTAAAAATATTTAAACTATTACAAAAACTTTAACATAAGTGGTTACGCCGACGCTCGGGTGACTACAATAGCTCTACTTATTTTTATCGAATAGTTGAGCTAAAAAACAAACAAACCTGATTATCTTTAAGTAAAGGTGTAATAAACAAATTAAGGGATGTTCCTTGCAATGTGGCAAATGCAATGGGACCCACATGTTCAACTATTTATAACAAATTCCTTCATGTTTCAAATAACATAGGATATCACGAGTTCAAGACGAAATTGTTAAAAGCAGGCTTTTCATAATTATGACAATATGAAATTAAAACACAACTTAAAATGCTTAAAGCTAAATCATGTTTTGCAGACTTTTCTATATTTGTTTCATGTGATGAATAGTATAGGTTTTGATAGTTTTGCTTAGAATAGAGTACATGAAGAAATAATATTTTGTATTAAATGTACTATAAGAGTTGGCTTGATTTTTTAAACAAATCAGACATTCTTACCTTTTCATACTTCAACAGAAATATTCTCCATTATTCTATTTTTAGGCTTGGTCTAATTTGTGTATTTATCAGATCTATGCAAGAAGTTGTAATATTATTCTCTCTAATCAAACTCATTTAAGTTGAAACTCAAAACTCAACACATGTTACAATGTATATACTTAAAATGATGACAGAAGGATAAAAAAGTTCCAATTCATTGTGATGTCTTTATTAAGTATGATTTTAATTATATATAAAGATATAGCATTAAAAAATGAATACATTCAACAAATTTGAAAAATATACAAAGTATACATATAAGTAATAAAAGCACCCCTAGAGCTTCTTACAAATAACCATGCTGCTATTCCCAACTCTACCACTATATAAAACAACTCTTACAACATTTAGCTTATCAACAACTAATTAAGCTGTTTACATTTGTTCAAACTAACCATTACAGTTCAAGCAAGAGGATACCCATATCATCTTTGTAGATGATATAAAATGCTTGTAAGAAACGATATATAACAAGAATGTATATGAATTCTGAAGCGAGCAAAATACACAAAATTAACTGAATAATTTGTAAGTTATAGCAACTTAAAAGCAAACCAACGCAAATCTTGCTGTTAGTTTCCCTTCAAGAAGTATACCTTACCTAACATTTATTTAATTAACTATCAATTAATTAAATACTGACTCAATTGCTCAACATCATTATTTACATTTCCAAAATCTTTTTTCTGTCATATTAATTCTGAAGAGTTGACTGGAGATGTTATTTTAAGTAATTATCGATAGTGGTAGTGTTTATCCTTAAGCCTTAAATAGACAAAGTAAATACACTTCAGACTTTAGCAACCACACTCTGGGGTTACATTCTCATCACCAAAAATAAATTCTGGATAATTTACATTGTAGCATGTATCATAAAGTAAGATTTCTGTTTACATGTTATATCAATGCCCATGAACACAACCTAGAATTGGTCTATTTTTTTCATGAAATAAGAAACTTGAAGATGGTCAATCCCTGCTATATATATACAATATAGAATGGAAACATTACTTATTAGTTATTCTGTTCTGCTTTTCCGCTTATAAATATTTATTTTTTTTAAGTTTATCTTGCATAAAATCATTTAGAGCAGATCCCCAGGCACTTAATTGAAAGTGTTTAAAAAGAATTACTTAACAAAAGATCTAATAACAACCACAATTAAGCTTTCATTTACAAAGACTGACTTCTGTTTATTGAACTGTTTCTGTCCAAATTTGTATATGTAAAGGCGATCTAGAGTAAATTTAATTCTGCTAATCAGTACAGACTTGCAATCTATAATGCATGTATGTTATAAATGCTATCTATACAAATCATAAACTTTAAATATATATAAACTGTCACATTAAATATACAGAACAGAACCAAACAGGTCACAGCATGTCCCTCACTAAACTAGCATAGTCATTTTACATTGTAAAAGAAAAACTTAAGAAACTATGTGAATTTAAATTTGACAGAAGATGATTTAAATGGTGAAAAAAAAACCACAAGACAAAAAACGCCCCATAAGGAATTATTTCAATTTCTAATTATCTGGTCAAACTTATTTTTATTTTTTGCAACCTGAAAAACGTATAACTACTTAACATACATATTGGTCTATTTGAATCTTAATTCAATGCACTATAATTTGGTGTACATGTAACCAGACAAGTAAATGTAACAAAGGGCGGATAAGCATCAATAGATCACAACAGGTTACACCGGAACCACCTAAACAGTAAGCTAGCCTCAAGCTAGCATTGATAAGGACACAAAGAGGAATGAAGGGTGTATAAGCACTTAAAACAAAGGCTGAAGCAAACTAGATCAACAGCTTATAGAGTATATAAAGCCTCCAAATAAACATCTGCATACATACATATGAAATGATCACAGAAAATAAACTTCTAACAGCAACATTAAAAAGAAATCACACATGTTTAAACATGTAACATTGCAACTGTGCAAAGCTGCAAATATAGAGTGATCAATGGTTTAAAATAACTTCATAGAATATACAAATCACTAAATTCCACAAAACTTTCATATTACAATTAAACATAAATAAAATAATTAAACAGAATGTTGTACGTATGCTTATGCTAGCAGTTTTTTATGTTTCAGATTTTATATGTGCAATATAGTTTAAACCAACACCATAGATAAAATTTTAAAAAAAAAGACAAATATATCTTGAATTTAGTCAGCATGTTCAAGAAACAATAGAAGAATGATAACACTTATCTATGTCATATGTGCATAATGTCTTCTAAGAAAACCTACTAATTTCAACATTATCAACAAGATTGTATAAAAATTGTCTAGAAAATACAAATCTTATGTACACATTTTTGGAACTATACAAGTATGTACATTCAGACATTTTTTGTATGTTTGATATACAAAAAAAATAATAAAAAAATCTGAATTTTTGGAAGCTGGTAACATTTTATTAATACCCCCCACCGACCCACATCTTGTAACACTAGTGGAGCAGTCTTATTCAACAAACATTCACTGCCAAACTAAGTTCCTCAGGTGGAGGTTATCTAGCTCTTTGCAAAACTTTCATTGCTTTATATTCTGAAAATTGTTAATATTTTTAATAAAGTACATGTGTATATTTAAATTGTATATTGTAATCTATCAATATTTTAAGTTCATTTTGTCCCTTAAAGTGAAAGCAAGATCAATCACTTACACCAACATCAAAGGCAAAAGCATTATCCAATCATCAGATGCTCTGTTACATAGATAACAAAATATGAACCTTGACTTTCGAGCTATAACAAACGTGAAAATCACATGACAATTGTGATGTACAGGTTGATCATTTTTAAAAAGGTATGTATAGCATTCATTTAGGCCATGGTTGCAAGTAAACATGTTTATTCCAAATATAAACAAGTCAAAAAGTAGTGACGTATCAGCTAGAACTTGCAACTTAAAGTAGACTTTATAAGTAATAACTTTTCTAATAAAAAAAAAAAAAAAAAAAGGTTTCAATTGCTTCATAATCAAAATTCTGATTTAACATTCATTTTAACTTGACGTTTGATTTGTACAATGGCAAAAAACATGTTTGACACGTAAACAATAACACTGTAACAAGATTCAGTCAACAAACACTGAAGCTTAAAGAACACTTAACGGAACTTTGTTCACTTAATATAAAAAAACCTTGTGCATCCATTTCTTCTCAAATTCTGACATTCTTTTCATTTTGACTAAACTTGTTTTATCTTCTGGCTGAATATCTTTACATTTTACGAACTTGGATTTGACCAACCCTTATTGAAAAAAGTTAAAAGGTGGAAATTTTCAGTTTTGAAAATGATGTGAAAACTTGTGAATTTCATTTACACCATCACATGTAAATTTGTTTATAAAATGAAACAAAATAATTTCAAGTTAAAGTCAGAGATGTTAAGAAATAGAAAAACAACGCATGTCTAACAAATACTATGCATGATCAATTTTATCTTTTTTACACATAAAGATGGAAGTCCTCATAAAAGATTACACTTGGGCTTTTTCTTAGGCTTGGGTTTTGGACACAGTACTGCTCTGATGGCTTCATCAAACACCGTCTTCAGTCCCTTCTGTGTCAGAGCAGAGCATTCTAGATATTTGACGGCCCCAATTTCTTTTGCCATTGCAAGGCTTTGTGGGTAAGTAATAGGCGATAACTTCTTTTCCCGTAGTTTCTCAACAGTTTCTTTGTCTTCTCTCAGATCAAGCTTGGTTCCAACAAGTATAATAGGTGTATTTGGACAATGGTGGCTAACTTCTGGGTACCACTGAAACCAGAAAAGTTCCATGTCTCAGTTATTTATTTACATTAAGTAACTTCTTCATAAAATGAATAGTAAAGTCATACCCCTATGGTCTTGACAAATGTTTTTCTTTTACATTTGTATATGCTGTGTATGTGAATATTTTTGCATCAAAAAAATTTAAGAATACCTAAAAGTGGACTTTTTGAATACTTAATATCATTCCAATGAAACCATTTCTTGACATGTTGAAATAAAACAAGCAATCCATAAGTCCCCTACCGGTTAGAACCCCAGCAACATTCTGATGGGCCATTGGCCATTCAATTTTACCAGTGAATGAATGACATGAATGAATTTAAATCTTTTGAGTTCTAAGTTTGTCTATATCACAGTAATGTGTTAAGTTTCCCTGCCTAGTAAGGAAATTATGTTTATACAACCTTGTCATATTATTACGATGTGGGATTTTAAAGTAAATCCTATAAGGAATGAAGAAGTTGGAGTGAAAAATACCAATTTCTCGAAAAAAAATCTAAGTTCAAGGGGGACATAATTCTGGAAATAGTCTTGCTAGAGTATTTAACCTTCTCAAAAATGTTGAGTGATAATAAGAAACATATATATGAAGTTTGAAGTAGATACATTAGGAAATAAAGAAGTTATTTAAAAAAGACAACATTTTTTTTCATAAAAATTCTAAGTTCAAGGGAGGTAATACTGATAATTTTTGTGCTAGAGTTGTAAACCTTGTCACTTATGATGTGGTTGATGACCAGAAACTTATATTTAAATATTGATGTAAACACCTTAAGAAATAAAGAACTTATAGTGAAAAAGCTGAAAAAATTAAATCAGAAATCTTGAAATTCAGGCTATTTGTTGCCATAGCAACCAGAATTTTCAACATAGGAAGAAAAGAAAAAGATATGCATAATCTCCAGACTGCCATCTACCCATATTTCAAGTTTCATAACAATATTTTCAGTACTTTTTGAGTTATCACTGGATCCAGTTAATATGTTAAATTTGCCATATTTTCAGACTATTTGTTACCATAGCAACCAGAATTTTCAACACAGGAAGAAAAAAAAAGACGTGCATAATCTCCATACTGCCATCTATCCATATATCAAGTTTCATAAAAATATTTTCAGTACTTTTTGCGTTATCGCGGGATCCAGTTTTGTGGACGGACGGACTGACAGACAGATGGACGGAGGGTAAACCTAAAGTCCCCTCCGGTTAAACCGGTAGGGGACTAATAACACATTCATGGTATACGCTTATCATTAAAATAGCTATGGAAAATCAGGCCATTAATTTAGAAAAGGTAATGTGCTCTAGCCTAGTTATTAATCAGTCACGTCATACAACAATTTAGTGATTTATCTTTAATGAAATAACAACTTTAACAAGCTTTGTAAAATTTCTTTTATGTTTAATATGTCACTCATTATGTGTAACAGCATTTATATGTTAATAATAGCAATAATTCAGGATACTCATACTTAGTTTAGAATAGTTTTTGTTTGAAGTAATAAAAAATTCACAGTTAAAGTGACATGTTTAAAAATACTGTATGATAAATAAACAAGAAACTTTATTATGTCATGATTCAATTGAGTGCAATCATAAATGAAATAATGGAAAAAATTGGCAATTTGTTAACTTTGATTTTTAGAAAAAGTAACATCTAAGTTCTTAACACTGTGCCGCCCACTACTCATGAAAAACAAAATATCCCTGTACTACTTACAAGAACTATAACCTCAGTTCACACTTTCCATGTGATTTTTTTTGGATAAATCACAAATATATTTGCAAATTAATTCATCATTCTACTTGCACTGTAGGCAGACTGTATTTACCTTTAACAGAAATCTGTTTTTTTTGCTATTTATAAACTGATTTTGATACTCAGAGGCAAATATCTTAGTTTCTAAGTTGAATATTAGGAAACAAATACAATTTCACTATGATAATAAAAATAATAATAAAATATATTAAATGAAACTAACCAACGGAACATATATCAAGTTAATTTTCAGAAAATGGGGTTTAAATACTATGGTCTTTCCACACATTAACTTACAAAAAAAATATTATTTTGTCATATGAATGACACATTATCTTATGATAATTTTCTTTAAAAAAGTGATCAGGTGTACATAAACTTGAACTAATTTTGTTACAATAGTGAGTTAAAGCTGTTGAAGGGCCATTACAAGTCATGTAATTAAAATACCCTGTGAGTGTCCAAAAAAAAAACTATCATTAAATTGCTTCCCTTAATATATTTCTAATCTTTTTTAAGCAAAACATGTACATTTGCTGTATCCATTTTTAATAACAAAAATAAAAGTTAAATGGTTAACTAATTATCTCAAATGATATGCTGTTTACTTTAATTGATACCAGATATATCTTAATTTAGAAAAGAATTGTCAATACATATATGGTTTACTATTGACGCAAGCAGGAAGAGATGAACACTTTTTATTGAATATAAGAGGGTCACAATGATAAGTATAACAAATATTTATTTAATACACTACAAGTGCACTTTATCTTAGCATACATGTAGGTACATGTATTAAGCTAAAAATAGAGCACTGTATGTTAAAGGGCTCCAGTGGGGTTTTTGGACAGGTTGGGACTGGATATTTTTTTCCAGATGTGTGTACCATTTGATGTATGTTTGATCCAATAACATGTGTGCAAAAATTCAAATCATTTGCTCACTCAGATTTTTTTTAGAATAATCATTTATCTAATTGGGCAAAATGACCCAAAAATAAAGTGTTTAAATGGCTTATAGTCAAAAGGCACACATTAAAATGATTTTCAATTTAATTCTAAATACATTGTATATTACCTTTTTTTCATTTGCTCAGTTTCCTGTTTGGGGGCCCCAGTTGATTTATGTAAAAATTTCAAATTTTATGTTCTAAGAGTTGAGCTCCTTTAAAACAGTACTATTTTATCATGTTTAAAAACGTAATTTTTAACAAGACATTCCTTTATCAAAGACCTCAAGTTTTCGTCATACTAGTCTTAAAATAAAGACAATCTCTAGGAATTAGTCAATAGATCTGAGTCTGATGTGAACAAAGATCTAGATCAGCTTGATAATGTTAAAAGAGATTATTGAAAAAGAAAAAAAAATGTTTTTAAATTTAAAATAAAACAAGAAGCTAATGTAACCTACCTTAGCCCTAACATTTTCAAAACTGGCAGGGCTTATCAAGGAGAAACAGATCAAAAAAACATCCTGAAACACAAAATATAAAAGATCATATTCAAACAGATTTAAAACATCAAACATCACATTTATTTTTTTTTAATTTGTGTGCCTTTATGTCCAAAAGTTTTTGCTTTCCTTTCCCATGTCATTTCAAAGCAACTTTAATGTATATATGCCAGCTAACATCTCAAGACATTTTACCACTGCTTTCAAGTTAAGAACTTTTGAAGCTCTGATACATGTATTGATGCATGCAGTGCCAGAAGTAAAATGAAACTCATCATTTATTAAAGATCCTGTGTGTTTTATTTAAGGTTGTTACCACACTTAAGTGAAATTTTATACATGTATATAATTATGATTCTAGAACAATTTTCAAACATCGGAGAATATGTAAAATATGAACTGCAAATACTTGTCAAACTTGTCAACATTATATGCAATCATTTAAAATATATGCATTCATTTCTTATTAAAAAATTTGACTTAGACTTTATAAAAAAAATTTCTAATTACCTCCTTTATTAGCATGAAATGTAAATTCTGTAATATCTTTACAAATCATGCTTTTTGGAACTTACAAGATTGATAAATCTTCATTTGAGCATTATATTTTTGATATAAAACCATAAAAAAATTGAGTTACAGGATCTTTAACTGCAATAAAAACAATTATTTTTTCTGTGCCCTTGTAACAATGTAAAGTAATTATTTTCCTACATAATGTAATATAGAGAATACATTGATGGTTCATGTTGGGATGGAAAAGGTTTATCTGGCGAGCGAGAAAGTGTATCTTGACAAGCTTTAGTGAATCATGATTCTTTTTTGCAGTGAACCAGATAAACCTTCTCCTATCCCAACATAAACCATGTAATTGATTTATCCTGCTTTTGTTTACTTTGATCATGTTTTTAGATTATTTAAATGGTTTCATTCTTCCTTTTCCTCGATAAAACAGCTTCTATATGTAGTTTTGTTTTGCTGCTAACCATGTGACGTCATCATATGACGTAATGACTGGAGATAGGTAAGTTGGATAAACTTGCTACTGTCTATAATATTATCATGCAACTGCTATGGTAACTGCCCGATAACAATTGCCTGATAATTATTTTTGATATCACGTCAGTAGCCTGATATTAGCCCCGCCCATTTTAACGGACTTTTTTCAATTGCTTATATTCGAGCATTTTCATCAGCATGTGAATTCTACAATGTAATCTCATACCCTTACAAGTCTACAATCAATATGGGAAATTTATTTATTTATTTATTATTTGGATTTCAATTACGAATAAATTAGATAGCGAATAGTTTTAGCACCAACTAAATGAAGTGACGTCATAATTTATATTGCAAATGACATCATCGATGTTCATGTCATACTATACATGTAATCATAACAAACAGGCTGACGATTTTCTTTGAGAACTTGTAAATGTTTACTTTATTTGCCGGATTATTATTTAATAAGTGAACAAATTGTTTCGTTTAAAAAATAAGACGCATGTTTGTGTAGCTTGTGTTTGATTGCCGATTTGACTTTTCTTTGATTGAAATTATCGTGAACTTTTTGAATTTGACAATTCAAGACAAAAATTGCAGTAACGTTTAGTTTATGTGATTCTAAGCGGATTTTTGGATCCATGTTTACATTAAAGGTAAGAATGTTATCGTATTAGGCCTACATTCTGTTGTATCTTTTATCCGAGTCGAAAGAAAAAATGGCCGCCAATTACAAATTCAAAGTGTCAGGGGCGGAGTTTCAAGAACAAAAATTCCCCTTTTTAACGAAATTCGGCAAGCCTCGCCCTTTCTAGCCCATATCAGCCTCGCCTGATAAAATTGATATCAAAAGACAGTAGCATGTTATTCTCTATTTATCAGCTTCTATATGTAGTTTTGTTTTGCTGCTTACCATGTGACGTCATCAAATGACGTAATGACTGGAGATAGATAAGTTGGATAAACTTGCTAAGTACTGTCTATAATATTATCAGCTGGATAAAGCCTTGCCAGAGAAGCAGGATAAAATGAATTTTGTAATCATCCAAATAGGCTTAACCTTGAAATGCTTAGAGAAGTCATATTCAGAATTAATGATGAGAAAGTTAAAACACCTGGATCCAAACCTTTAAGCTTGTTTAAAGCGAACTCTTACATATAATATAGCAATACAAAGCTTGATTGTTTGCTACTTGTGTATTTTATCCAAAAAAAACAAACAAAAAACTACAAGATTAAAAAGGTAATACATACTGTCTGTGGGTATGAAAGAGGTCGTAACCTGTCATAGTCTTCCTGCCCTGCAGTATCCCATAATCCTAGATTAATAGGCTTGCCATCTACCATTACATTGGCTGAATAATTGTCAAACCTGAAAATTTATTTCAATGAAATCAAGTAACATCCAATTACATATAAAAACTTGGATATTGACATATCCTAACAACTTAAGAAATAGAAAGGATAGTCCAAAAATAACATATATATTATGATTGTACAGCAAAACATTAATTTGACACAAAGTCTCACCTGTGTAACATTATATCAATTTCATATTTGTGCAAAACAAAACAACAGAAGCACAATTTTTCATGTCCTTCAAAATATAAATAATACCGCTAAATCTATATATATAGTATGCCTTATTCAAATAAAGATACTGGCAAACCTTCTTGACACTAATAATAATTAGCTAAGATTCAATACTTACACAGTTGGAATATATTCCCCAGGGAAGGCATTCGTTGTGTAACTGATCAGCAGGCATGTCTTACCAACAGCACTGAAAAAAGACAATTTACTTATTATTCAACAGAATAATGATTGACAAACGATTTGTTCTCTAAAATACTTTTTAAAAAACTAATTGTGAAGTTATCGCATGTATGTCTGTAATATCACCATTATTTACACCTCCAAAAAGCCAAAATAGCTGCAGTAAATTACCATACATGTGGCCTACATAACCTTTGACAGGTTACATTCAGGCTAACTTTCTAAAAATCTATAAAAGTATAAAGTTTATTTACAAGATGTTATGACATAACAAATGATTAGAATATTAAGAATTATCATCAACAATATGATATTTATGGATTGTAAATTTGACCAAGTCAATAATTATACCCAGTTATAGAAATGAAGTATGGATAATTGAAAAGTCTTTTAGAATATAATTGAAAAAGAAAGATAAAGTTTGCAAAACACTGTTCTAAAGAATAGATCCATGCAAAAAGTAAGTTAAACCAGTTAGCGAGAAACTGAACATTCATTGCTTAGTTATGGTTGGTTCCAGGAATGGTTAAAAGACTGTTACAATAAGTTTATAGTTCTGGCTTCCATAACTTTATATGTTGTTTTTATTTTGACGTTGTGCAGCAGTAAAGTTATGGGTCAAGTTTAACCCTATTTGTAAAGGCTTCAACAATTCTGAATGAATTCATGTTTTTTTTTTTAAAAAGAAACTTCAATGACATCGTGTACCCAACTATTTGTTAGGGAAATATGTAGAGATTGTTTACCAATATGGAGTCTGCTTTCAAATGATATTTTGTGGGACTTCAAGTTTTGGGAATTCTAGCATCTATTTTTAGTAATGGACCATACACTGTTTTTAGTACTGTATGATTTTAAATACATTTGTAAATACAAAAAAAATAATCATGAATCATCACTCAAAACATATAAATCCAATGTTTTTGGTACAATGTCAACAAATACATGTTGGATTCTTATTGTTCTGAGTGATGCTACGTGAATTATATGCTGTATATGTTTTGGGTGAATTTTCATAATTTACAGACATTTAAATAATTAATCAACAGTATTGATTTTTCAAATATGTAATTATCAACAGAAAAATATCAAAACCATACATTGATATTGTCAAGGGGAGCGGTGGCCTAGTGGTTAAGGTGTCTGCCACTCAACCCAGAGATCATGGGTTCGAGCCCTACTCGGGTCAGGACCATGTTTCTTCATATGACACCAGTACTGGTTGGTTACCTAAATTCTCGCAAATGACATGATGATTAAGCATATATCATATGTGTTTAGGGCAGTAATGGCAGTGAATTTTATAAAATGTAAACGCACTTATAAAATTTGAGGCATTTTTTCATCGATCTAACATTCTTTGTTCAAAAATATAGACTGAAGTGTACAAAATATATCTAAATAGCTCTTGTCCAGATAACGCAAATTTATTGAATTACATAGAGGATATTGAATGAGTGTAAGTCCAATACTGAACTTATTGAACGAGTTGAGTAAAATTTATATTATGCGAGCCTCTGGCGAGCATAATATTATTTTATTCAACGAGTTCAATAAATTCAGTAATGAACTTACACAAATTTAATATTCTATTTATCACATACCAAAAAATAAAGACCGTTTAAAGTGAAAAAGAGTCATTTTTCATTGACGCGCCTACAGAACAACGCTAACATTTAGCACGTCTTTTTTACACTATGTTTGTTTAACGCAAGTGACGTCACATCAAAATATATGCACGGTCGTGCAATACCATTTTTACGGAGTCGCAAAATCGGCACAGATATGTGATAAACTAATTTACAGCATGACATAAATATGTCAGACTCTCAGAGCGCAAACAGGACGTTTCGGCCCCAAACCAAATCGGCCCCAGTATAAAAATCGGCCCCTGGACGTTTCGGCCCTTTTCCGCGAGACGTTTCGGCCCTACTATATAGTACAGACAATTAATTAACAACAATTGATTTAAAAAAAACAATTATGACCCTTTAATTCTTTAAATAATTATTTATTATCTTTTGATCTCTTGAACCATTTAGATATACGTTAATGTTTTTAAAGGTGTAACAAACAATAAAGGCAGGTTAATCCTTAATTTATAAAACAAACCACTAAAACTTCTTGATTAAGAAAGTTAATTACAATTATTCCTTAGAAAACATTATTTTTTTATCTTAATTAAACTATAGGCCTACGTATTTTTTTCAAGGTGTAACTAATTAACTGTTTATAGCTTTATGTAAGTAATATCAGAGAAAACTTCAAAAGATTTAAAAAAACGGTTTGCTATAATCTCCTGATAATATTTTTAATTATTATTGTTATTAGATAATGATAGATGCTAGATGTTATAAAAGTGATTGAAAGACTGAAACCAAATCATAAATGTACCTGCTATATATTTATTAATTAGTTTAATCAAACAATGTTGACAGTGACAAAAGAATTATAGATATTATGGCTTCTGTTTTCTTTTCATTGTAAAATTACATGACCGGATATTTCGATTTTCACGTGCATGAACAACTAACTTTCCTTACCTGATAATTAAATGTGTTAGATTTTTCTATATCAAGGAAATAATTACGAGTAGCTATTTATTATGAGATATACATAAACATTGAAGTTAACATTAAATGCAACAAGTTTCTAATCGTTGATGGTTTTGGTAAAGATTTAATCTTTTACGTAAAATATATAAGACGTATCGTAAATCTTTCAAGGTACTTGGAAATTGGCGTTCCACTTCATGAAAATTGTCATTTATGATTATTATAACTATGAAATTTTAATATACCGGTTTAAAACACAGCACTTATTCTGGGGCCGATTTGGTAAAGGGCCGAAACGTCTGGGGCCGAAACGTCTTGGGTAATTTGGGGCCGATACGTCTTGGGGCCGAAATGTCTCGAAATCCTCAGAGCTCTGGTCAGGTCGACTTTCGATATGGAATTTGGCTTCAGCGAACATGTCTAGCAGTAATATAAAACCTGTTCGCTGAAGCCTCTTTAGGTAATAAGCGTACTGTATAGCTTCCAACACAATTTATAACTAAAATAAATTTGTATCTATAATAGTAGAAAGTAATCAGGAATGAATGTAGGTGGCTTATGTCACTGTGTGCTCACTGCCATGAAAAGGAGGGTAACTACCAACACCTCCATTTTGGACACATAGAAGTGTCATATAACACAGTATTTGTGACTTAAAAGGCTACTATTAATGATGTCATCTTGTCTTACCTTAGTCATGGAAGAATCATTTCCTGATCAGCATGACCAATAAAACAAGCCATAAACTCAAGGATTTTAATGTCACAAAGAAATCAACAGTCAGGGAAATACTACATTAAATAGACAGATATGCAAAAGAACTTATAAAAAATCAGAAATTTGATATTAATCAGCCGAGCAGAACGAAAAAACTTCAGGAACTTGTGCTCATAAAAAGTAAAATATTTCACGTTTCTTACCCGTCTCCAACAACCACGCATTTAATCGCTTGCATGTTTGTACAATAAATTATATCCCTGAATAAATACGGAGTGGTCGAAACGATTCCAAAAGTGGTTATGGGGTAAATTTAGATAGCAACATGTATTTATAACTGGTTCAAAATGGAGGAGCAGCTTGCTTTATATATGTGCCCCCAGCAAAGTTACTATTTTTGGATAAGCCGCTTGCAACGTTGACAAAATCTTGTTAGACCTCCGGAACGTACCGGACAAAATTGACTATTGTCCGTCATATTCCGAATCGAGGAGAATTAAGCGTAAAAGCTTCGTATCTTCTCAGTACCTTTATAATACGTACATTTCAACAATTAATTACCTCTGTCTCCAGTTAACATCACTTAACAGTATATGGATAATACGCAGATCCATGGTAAATACCAAAATTATTAAACGTTTTATTAAAAGCATCCAACTATTTTAAGCATACTCACTGTTGGTATTCAGTCCTTTTACATTAAAACAATACTCTTTCCTCTTTTCATAGCATATGATGGCCAAGCGGAAGACTCTATGATGGGCAATTTTTAAAACCGTCTCCTGCTGTTATAAGTAATGGTTATAAGGGCTTTTCTTGCTGCCCGCCTTTCTCTAACGCACTGAGTACCTTATTTGTTATGGTAATTATAGGGTCCCCTTTTAAATGTGTTTCCACAAACATTTTCTTATTTAATTTATTTTCCGCCTACAACCAGAATTTCGTTTGGCGGGGATAATTTTATTTACACGGCACTGTCTAATCGGAACATATTAGGCCTAACAATATGGTTAATTTGGTGCACCTTTAACTGGTTAAAACTCCCCGTAGTCCTCTTTTCAACTCAATATTTCAAGTTGGTGCCACTTTGTTTTCTTTAAATTTATGTCTTGTTTACAATTGTTGTTTTGTGTGTTTGTTGTGTCACTTGTTGTGGTTCTGTGTATACTCAGTTCCTACTCTTTTTTATAATTTTCGTCAACATTAAATATTTCCTTACCACTGGTTAATTTTTCCAATTGTTAGACCTCCTTCCCTATCCATTACCCTTACACTGTTTTCCCTATAGCTGTCATCCCCGTTTCTTCGCTTTTATCTTAGTATATAATCAAGTTAGTTGATGTTCTCATGTAATTTCCTACGATTTCCCCATTTATAATTTAGCTATATGATTGATACGCCCCGTCCTTGCCCCGACCTAATACTCTCCTTTTGTTCTACTAAAATAACGTAGTACTTCACCGTTGCGAGAAGTGGAAAAATGCTCCTCGTATGTTAAAATAAAAATCCCACATATGATTGGAGTCAACAGAAAGCCAAAATTACGCTCAAAAACGGTGGTCAAGCCATCATTTTTACAAATGATCTTGAGAAGTAAGCAATTTCGAGGAAATTGTTTTGATGAGGGATAAAGAATATGTCTTCGCAGTCGTATGCGGCTATTCCTTTTTTCAGTTTGGTTAAATGAAGAATGTATTGGCCAGTTTACTAACCGCGTTGGAAATCCTGTCAGGTATCCGCCATATATTATGGAAAGCCATGACTGTCTTATATTGTTCTTTTTTCAATTAATTTAACCATGTCGATTATATATAAGTTCACTTCGACTTTATATGAATTGAAAACACCTTCTTATTAAATCGTAAGTCATTTAATCACATACCTCCGTACATACCCATGCCGCTTTAACGACTCCGTAAAAATGGTATTGCACGGCCGTGCACATATTTTGACGTGAAGTCATTTTCGTCAAGACGCGCTAAATTATAGACTCGTCAGTGAAAAATAGATCTGTGTTTTTTTTTTACTTAAAACGGTCTTTGTTTTTGGTATGTGAAAAATAAAATATTAAATTCGTTTAAGTTTAATACTACATTTATTGAACTCGTTCAATAAAATAATAGTATGCTCGCCAGAGGCTTGCATAATATATTTTTATTCAACTCGTTCAATAAATTCAGTATTTAACTTACGCTCATTCAATATCCTCTATATATAAATCCACAGTTACAATATATGAAACCATACCGTCAGTGTATGGAACCAAGGTAGCAATATATAAGTTGATTTTCTCAATATATGATGCCAGTTTTTCAATATATGGTACCTAAATTTTTGCCTTATTTTGGTTAAAGCACGTACAAATGTGTGCAAAATGACCCCATAATACAATGGCATCATATCGTATGTATGATACTTTCACAAAATAACTATATTTTGGAAATTTGAAAAATCATTATTGTCTGGTTATAAAATAAATGACAAAAAATGATTTCATCGCAGATGGCAATGGATTTGATTGCAACGCAGTGCGATGTGCCCGATAAAATTCATGTATATTTTGAGGGTTTAACTTGATGTAACACACTTTTCAATTGCGTACAAACCTTTTCTTACGTTGGCATCTGAGAAACGTGTTTATTTGATGTTTAAAACACTAGGTGTTTCCTGTAAAACATTAAAACATAAAACAAAATTCAGTCATATACTTACCGACAACAGCAAACGGCCATATTTTATCCTACGCTTTTGCGACGAATACTCCACCGCCTCTTTGATGGACCCACCGCTTCTGCGAAAGCTATGGCCAGTGTGATTAAGAACAATATTAAATCATTTTTGTCATGAACTGGTTAAAAATCAATTTACTGCCATTCAATGCACAAAAACATGCATCACTATTACTGTCAACTTTGACAGTAATAATACTGAAAGTTATGTATTTTTCTATTACCTAAAATAAAAAAATAAATCAGAAAGCAATAATCACAGTTATTTCTTTATCACAATCTTTAACATGTTTTGGTGATTAAATCACAGTGCAGTCATGGACAGCAAAATGTCCCACCGTAAAGGAGGAAAATGCATTTCAAAGGGGAAGTACATGTACCTAACCCTCACATATATGTAAAACTCATGTTGAAACAGCCATTCACTCTGGTTTAATGAAACATTTTAAGTTTCAGGCAAAAAAATCATGACAATATATAATTGACAATAGTTAAACAACAACAACAAAACACAAAGTCCTTGCAAACTAATCATAGTAAATACAAAAGAGCAATAACTCCAAATTGGAGGGTTGTCATTCTTGTTTGCGTTTTTTTTTTCTGTAATCCATCCTCCAATGAAGTTTCAAATTAATTATTCTTGTGTATTGTGTATTATCACTTAGATATAGTCACAGTTGATATCTAAAATATTTGTTCTACATATGCTCTCCAAGATGTCCTGTCATTTGTGCTTTCTTACGTTGCCATGTGTTTCAGACATTTGCCCACACTAGTCGCAAACAAACATTATTTCTGCAAAGCAAAACGTTATTACATTGTATATTCTTAAAATATATTATCTGTTTGTTTTTTTGGAGATTCGATTTGAGGAGGAATTGCTTCAACAGAACCTAATTTGTTTCTAATTCTTTGGCCGATAACTGATCTTCTAAGAACAAATATTTATGACATTGATATGGAAAAATATGTCACATCTATAGTTATTAAGATATAAGTGTCGTATTTAAAAAAAAATGCTGTTTCATTTATTTCTAACATACTTTATGAATACATGAACTTAAAATATAACGAGAAATGTCCTTTCTAGCCCTTAATTGACTCATATTATTGATAATTTTGTTATAGAAACTTGCCATGAATGGGTACATGGAAGTATACAGCTATGAAAAAGAAAAATAATGATCTACTAGCTATAAGCAATCAATATGTGAAACATAAAGACCTAGATCTTTGAACTAGTGATCCCAAAATCAATAGGGCTCATATACTATATATGGTTATTCAATATGTGAAATATGAAGACATTGTAATAAATAGTTTCATGATAATGAGTGGAAACCATTATGACATTTAAGGCTCTTGTGACCTTCACCTTTGACATAGTCACCCAAATATAAATAGGGGTCATCTACTAGTTATGACCAATCAGTATGTGAAATTGTGAAATATGAAGACTTTGTGATAAATAGTTTCAAGATGATAAGCAGAAACCATTCTGACATTTAAGGCCTCTGCGACATTAACCTTTGAACTAGTAACCCCAAAATTAAAAGGGATCATTTACCATTTATGACCAATCAATATGTGAAATATGAAGACTTTGTGATAAATAGTTTTCAAGATAATGAGCGGAAACCATTTTGACGCTCAAGGCCCATGCAGTGACTTTGATCTTGGACCTAGTTACCCCAAAATCAAAATAGGTCATGTACTGATTATGACCAATTACTTAGTATGTTAAATATGAAGACTTGGTGATAAAGATCTTTACGATAATGAGCGGAAACCATACTACCATTCAAGGTCGCTGCGAGCTTGACCTAGTGACCCCAAAATCAATAGGGCTCATCTACTACATATGGCTATTCAATATGTGAAATATGAAGACTTTGTGTTAAATAGTTTTCATGATAATAAGTGGAAACCATTCTATCATTTAAGGCATTTGTGACCTTGACCTTTGACCTAGTGACCCAAAATCAATCTACTAGACTAGTTATGACCAATCAGTAAGTGAAATATGAAGACTTTGTGATAATCAGCGAAAACCATATGGTCTACCGAGGGACAGACCGAAAATTAGGCTTTTGAATAGAAATATTTGAAATCAATCTCGCAAAATGTGTAATCATCACTCCATTTACATTCCAGTACATTCAAAATAATTTTCAAGAAGGTTTTTAACCTTAGTTCTTATAAGTTGTGGGAAAGTCCGAGAGGGAGCATTCAGAGAAAAACACTTATCCCATTTTCAGGACTAAACCAGGCAATAATCTATAAACCTTTTTACAATTATCTCAATGACTATAGCCATTCTTTGGTGCGCTACATTATTTCTTGATACTCTCACTATTGCTTAAAATAAAATTGTGTTTTACCTTCGAGTCGACGGATTTTCTGCAAAAAATGGTCCAAGTGGGAGCATTCCGCAGGTGCGCGATGACGAAGTATCCTACCATTAATTAAAGTAAATTTCCGACGTGATTTGTTTATCAACGTCATAATTGACGTCATATGGCCTGCAAGCATTCGTTTTTTGTGCTGTGCAAATGCACTTGACAGCCCTATCTGTGTGATAGGCGAATAGTACAGAGTCTTGTGCCATTTCATGATGTTCTATAAAAATTAAATCGAATTAGGAGTTTTCAACTCCTACGTAGGACTTTTT